ACATCCCCCTAACCCATAAAGTTTATTCATCCGGGGTCAAAATAGTTCATGAAATTCGGCGGCCCTCATTTGATATAGGCATGGTGTCCTGCTAGTGCGTGAACAAGTCCAACTAGCAAAGCCTCCACAGCCACAATCACAAAGCGTTGGCACAAAAACAACCCTTCACAATGCGCTATAAACTCGCTGCATGGTTTATAATACTGCCTTTTCAAAAACCCTTGTAAGTGTTGCCCTCACCCTTTACACCACATACCTACGCACTAACAGTTTTTGCGTTTTGTCTTTCAAAGACAAACGGAAGTTTTGCCTGGTAGATAGCTCCTTGTGCCGGATTCTGCCCCAGAGGTTTTGGCGACTGGCCCCAAGGCAGGAAGGATTTGTGCGGCTTTTGGGACCAAAAAAGGAAAATGAGCCGAGAGGTGTTCCTTACCGATCCTTGCAAAACTTAAAAACAGTGCTCCAACTGGGGTCTGATTCCCATGTTCATGGTAAACTGTTCCATCCCAGAACGCACCGGGGGGTCTTGTGCCCACCCAACACTTTTCAGAGCTGGAAGCTTGCTGGGGCACAGCTTAAAAGGGAAGACAAATCCAATTGGGAGCGGCAGGGATCTACGCCAAGGGAAAGCAGAGGTCAACCAAGTGGAATCCACCGTTGCAACCCCCAAACCTTCTGGAGTCTGGGACACTCATGCTACTTATCGCAAGCCTGGTCGTTCTTTCTAAAAAAACAAATCACCGCTGCATAGCCTGCTGTTTCAGAGGAGTTGGGCAATCATCTCATGAAAAAGCCAACTGGTACAGCTTGCGATATGCAGCAGATCGCCTTTCAGCAGGGCGCACGTCGCTAAGCAACTCGGGTGAAGAACAGCCAAAGCCTAACGCGAGAAAGTGCAATACAAGCTGTCGGCACAAGTAAACACCTGTGCCATCGCCATGACGCCGGTAGCTGAAAGAAGCAATGCTTGCGGTGGGGTGCCCCGCAGTGTCCAGTTCCAGGTGGGATATTGGAAATGAGCAAACACCAAACTTCAAGCGGCACCAACTCAGGCACCAACGGGGTGCCCCTGTTCGTCTAGTGGATTAAGGCCGACATCGAAACCCCCGAACAAGGGGGTTCCAATTGTGGGTGGGTCGCTTTCTCACAGTTCAGGGCTCCCAGCATCTGCCAATGAAACAAACTCCCACCTAAAGTAAACTCGCTTTTAACTTGGAAACACAATGCTAGGTTCAGCTACCAAAAAGGGTAAATGCAGGGAACCAATCTCAGATAGGATCTTCAAGCAAGCTGTTTGGACCAAGGCACTCCTTTGCGGTACCAGTACCACGCGGCAGTGGCAGCAACCAAAACCTTGGTTCTGAGAAATTCCGATTCAAAAAGGAGCATGGTCATCTGCTTGAATTGCCGGGGGGCCCTATATTTTGTTGTTCTGTGGTTTTAGTCACCTTCTGGGCCCCTGCAAGGTGAGTTCCTTTGGTCAGGGTGATGTACTAAGAGGCAGCATAAACAAAAAAACACGGTTTGCTGAACTCCTTACACTGGGAGTCCCCCAAGCGAGGGAACCTTCATAGGTCAGCCTACTCCCAGATGCGAATCTTGTGCATGGCGTCAGCCATGTTGATTGGGTGTTCCAACCACTTCTTTTGAGCCCCTGAAATTCCCCCCGAGCATGTGGCACCAAAGCATGGCTCATGTTGCCACAGGAACAACGGAATCAGCTCGCAGGCTCCATTGTGACAAATGGGGTGGGGGGTGATGCTGTTTTGAAAAACCGAATCACGAATTGGTGTGCTGTGTGTTGTACTGAGAAAACCTATAGCCCCCCAAAAACCACCCCTTGTTTTGATATTTGCTAACATAGAACAAGCATGCTTTCCAAACACCAAAGTTGCTTTACCACTATGTGTGATGCAAGTCAAATTCTGTCCCCAGAAAGATCCGAAAACAGTTTGCTAACTTTCGGATAGCCCCGGAACATGGCGTCTGGAAATTGAAAACATGATGATCCAAAGGGCTTCTCGAAAGCTCCATCCAATAAAAACCGCTTTCACGTTTGAACGTAAGAATAACCAGTTGGCTAGTTAGTGGCCAATGGCTGTATCCACCGAAAGTAGACCCCCCAAGAGAGGCACCTTCATGAGTGAACATCAGTCGCAACTTGTGAGAAATGGGCCAAAAGGAAATCCAAGGTCAAACTTGGGGGCTTGATTCCAAAAATGGCTCAAGAGTGGAAACCGCAAGGTCACATCAGGTCCGTTCGCTTTGGGCAACTTTTACTTCAAGTGTATGATATTGACATGTGGGTCTTTCCTAAGATAGGTTGCATGTTCAACACCGTGAGGGGAAACCGAGAGCAATTCTAGGCACCTGGTGGCTCTTGATGGGAACTTCATGACACTTCTGGCCCACTCCCCTGGGCACAGTCCGCTTGAGCTCGGGCCTTGAAAGGGAAACTCCAAACCAGCCACTCCAGAGATTTGTCCTGGAGACCCGAACCAAACCCTTCGCGACTCCCTTGGCAGTCACGGAAGGTGGCAACCTGCAAACCAGATTGGGTGGTTCGACACTGCTTCTTTTGGCTTAAGTACCTTGAAGCCAGGCTGAAAAAGGGTATCCTCAAAAACATGTGCCCATGTGAACCCTTCCTTGCCCACTGGCCATGCAGAAAGGACTGCCTTTCTGCGTGGGGAGCACACCAACAAAATAACGAAAAAGGATGACAGGAGCCCTTGCCGGAAAAACAAAGGGCAGAGTAAGAGTTCTGCGATCAAATTGAACTCGCCATGACTTTGGAGAAGTCAACATATCCTGTATCCTGTTGCAGTTCCCTTGGTTTTCTGGAAACCTCAGTGAGTGCCCCAATTCGAGCATAGACTGCTGGACATGAATCGCCATAGTCTGCAAATCACGGCAAGTGGCCGCCACCAGTACGAGCTGGCCCCAGATCAGCCCAGTGCTCAAATCCATGGCTCGTAGAGCTCCCAAGCTTCCGAGAATCAAAAACCGAGGGCAAGAGGGCCAGCACCAGCCCAAGAGAGAAAGACAGGGAGCCAACAGCCAGGTTGCCGACCTGTCAAAATCTTCGGCTTCCTTCTTGGCGTCTACTTTTCCGGCGCACCGACACGGTCTTGCAAAGCAGCTGCGAGGCAGGGCTCGTTTCATGCCATGACTGCGCACATCAAAGGAATTGCGGCTACCCCTCCACTTGTGAGCCTCTCAACATGGCTCTCCCTGAGTTGGTATCCTTTCCTCAAGCAGCTTGCAAAGGGGAAACCTACTTCAGCACCCGACAATTCCTGAAGCAGATTAATCACAAAGGTACAAAGGTGGTTGTCCTTGTCAGGAAACCCATACAGGCGACGCCCATCTGATCCGAAAGCCTTGCTCCTCTTGAAACAGCGCAGTTGGACCCCCAATCCACCCCCATAAAGCCGATCCGCCTTCTGAGACCCTCCTCCAAAACCCAACTAATATGTGGCACATGACCTTCCACTTATCCAAATGAGTGGCTTGACCTAAAAAAATGCATGCGCATGGATCTGAGTCAAACCGGTTCCTTTCATCCCAATGTACCAATCTGGCCTTTGGCCCTTCCTTTGGCCACTTTTGAAGCCATACAGTACCAAGCAACCAGGGGTTGAAATGGGGTACAGGGCAGGATTTCAGCAACCCTGGTCCACCTCTCGAAACATCGGTCTGAGTCCAAACCTGTTGCCGGTGGATTTGGTTGGGCCAGCCCTCTGCATCTGTCTTTCGGGGGTCACGGAACCGCTCTTCGGACCCAAAACCACCCCAAACTCGAAACACACCTTCGCCTTCAACGGGGCTTTCTACACTTTGGCAACCCAATTTTGTACGAGCTGGTGTTTAACCCACTCAAGCTTTATTTGGGAGGAAGGCCCTGTTCAATGTCGATTTACCAATGTTTGTCCTCTGCAAGGGGGTGTGTTGCGGAGTTCCCCAGCAACCCAGCGTGCGTGCATGCGCTAACCAGAGTTGAGCAATCAGGGATTCTGGTGACAAAGGGATCCAGAAAGAAGTTCCTAATTTTGACAAGCCTGCATGGTACACAACTAATATGCATTGTCTCAAATAACTGAGAGTGACCCCCCACTTCCTAATGAGGAGGTTCCCGCCAAAACTCAGGACTTCTTATGTCCCCTTGAATCATCACGCCACCAAAGGGAAAATTAATTCACAACGGGCCGAAAGAGAATACTCAAACAGCCCCCACAAGGACCCTGGCAAAGGAGGCGATGGCCCAGCAAGGATGGGAGCTCCCAAAGCAAGCTGGCCCTTCACAGCTGCTAAAGACCCAAACGGCACGAGGGTGGCACTTTGATGCAAGCTGTGGATAAACCAAAATCCACTTCGGATGATGGTCCATCAGTAGCGCGTGGGAGTGTCTTTCATTCGAGGGCGTCCTGTGAACCCCGTTGATCCTAGTTACCACTATAGCAGGTAACCAGCCATTCTCCTTTGTGTTTTCAATGGGTGGTTCCCATGGTTGCCAATGCAGGAAGATGAATCACTGGGTCAGGTGCCCCAAGAGACAAAGAGGGTGCCCCGAGCTAGGCGTTTGGCACGGAGTTCGCCGGGCCACGTGGTGCGTGTGCGTCTCGCGGTCGTAGGCGTAGCCCCCGTCGTGGTAGTGCCCTGCGCCGAATGGACGCACTTGGGGCTGCCTTCTCTTGGGGTCTACTATGAGGGCCTACGAAATCAGAATGGGGATGGGGGTACTATCAAACCACATGACCTTGATGATCATGGGATGATCATAGTTTGTAATCATTCAGTGCCCTATTGTGTCCTGCTAGGTGCTGGTTCAAAAGAGAAGAAACCACGCAAAACTCAAAGGGACACCAACAAGCCAACGAGAAACCAAAGGGACACCCTTTTGGGGAAATCAAAGAGCTGGCCAAACAGAGACTTCAAGAGTGCCACTCCGCAACCCGCAGGCTGCATTGGATTGAAAGTTGTTTTTCGCTTGCCTCAGCTCAGGTCCGGGTCCAACCCTCCACCGCTCCTGCGAGCACCAGGGGCACCGTGCCGCGGGGGAAGTCCCGCAGCACCGCGAGCAGCTCATCGAAGTTCCATAGCCTCGGGGCCATCCAATCGGATCGGATCGGTTGCCTTCCCTAAGTTTAACGGAAGAAACACCAAAAGGGGCTGCACCAAAGGACCTCAAGGTTCATCTGTTCGGACCTGGAACCTCCAAGAGGCCCATGACAGCTACGTAAGCCGCAATGGAGATTCAGAGCCCTCCAGAAGGCCCAAGGATGAAGCCCAAAGGCTCAAAGTGATGGGACCCAGGAAGCCAAGAAAGCACCCAGTCGGCGCCTCGCATTGAGCCAGGCCGCAGAGCGGAGGCCACAGCGGCTGAGGGGAAGAAGGGCAGGTGGGTCAGCACCTGAACCCGAAACGACATGTTGTACTGATTCAATGACCCTTACCCAGCCTGGATGCCTGGCACGACTCTCTGGGTGGACGGGTTCATTTGCCTTTGTCTCCCTCCCGTTGTCTCCCAGCCCGGATGCCTTGCACGGCTCTCTGGGTCCAAATGAAGGGAGACAAAGGGACAAATGAACCCGTCCACTCAGAGAGCCGTGCCAGGCATCCAGGCTGCGAGACAATGGGAGACACATGGAGGGAGCCAAAGGGAGACAAAATGAACCCGTCCACCCAAAGAGCGCCAGGCATCCAGGCTGGGAGACAACGGGGGAAAAATGAAGGGAGACAAAGGGATACAAAATGAACCCGTCCAGAGAGCCGTGCCAGGCATCCAGGCTGGGAGACAACGGGAGAAAAATGAAGGGAGACAGAGGGAGACAAATGAACCCGTCCACCCAGAGAGCCGTGCCAGGCATCCAGGCTATGGCTTGGCAATAGGCGAGTCACTTTAAATGAATTTGGAACCCCTCACAGTAAACTGTTTGGGGAATAAATGTTCAAGGGGGCCTGCCAGCGCAGCCACCAACTGCCGACTCTGTCGACGCTAACAACACCAGCTTTAAAGGCGGAATGTTGTGTATGGCGCATATCCCTGGTGCTTGGATGAATCGACCAGTGCCAGTGGGTTCATATTCTCATACATTCATTGACAGTCAACCCTTTGCTCAGACAGGTTTAACCACTAATCCTGTATAATATCTCAGCTTCGTTCGCCCAAACTAAAAACGTGTGAGATGCTTAACATGTACGCTGTCGCCACTTAAACGCAACAAAGACTTTACACTACCTCCGCCAGCGCTACCGCCAGCCCGGCCGACCAACTTAAATACCCGATTTAGATAGGTATTTTGCGTCACGTCTTGAAAGCCTGCCTCTGGTCCGGCCCGCCTTGTCCATTTTGCCAATTACATCTTCCGCAACCAGTCGGTTGTTCTGGGATTTGTTGAAAAACAGGCCCCATCCCTAGAAACCAGGAGGTTCACGAAATTAAGGCAAAGTGTGTGCGAGCCGCTGCGCCGCTATACTGGTGCTGGGGATTCGGGGCAGGATATTGAGAATTTGAGATGGTCCTTTTGCAGGGGTCTGAAACAGGTCTGAAGCAGGTCTGACACAGGGCCCAATGCCAGATCCAGGCATTCTCTCTCTCTTGCTTCTCTTTCTTCTCTTCCAATTCTTTTCATTCTGAGATTTGTTTAAAAGCAGCTCCCATCCAAAGACGCCAGGGGATTCAAGAATTCAAGGAAATCTGGGAGTCCCGTCCGAGACAAGGGGCATTCATGTTCTTCTTGCTTTCTTTCTCCACGAGCCACATAGACAGGGCTTGGGCAGCTCAATTCAGCGCACTTAGCTCCGCAATTCCAGGCGTTTATGTAGCATGGAGTTACGAAAGCATAGGTCTGCGCCGACATGGCGCCTTAGGTTGGGCCTGTGCAATCTGACCTGCTGGCGCAACGCAGCTAGCAAGGGCTTGAATTGTGTTACGCCCTGTTTTTACGGGGAAGGGGTCTGTCTCGGTGTTGCCATTCAAATATCCTAATTGGTATTTCATACTACCTCCAGGGCCCGTGAGGTGTCTTACACTACCTCCCAGCCCTGAAGCCCAGGCCCGGCCCCCACATATTTAAAAGTCGTCACCGTAGTGAATCTGGAAAATGGCAGCAACAAAATCAAAGAGATCCCAGCAAAAGGGTGGTTTAGCCACGGAGCCACCCACACACAAGCTCAACGAGGCGCGATGATCCGCTCGCCCGCACTCTGCGCCGCTGCCAGCTCCTGTCGCGCCGCTTCTATTGGGCCCGCATTTAAAAATTTGTTGGGTCTGAAACACAAGTAGGGCCTCCATACCCCCTCCCCCCCGCTCCCCCCGAATTGTCCCTTCCCGGGGGATAGAGAGGCAAGTACTGGTCTGAGGGGCTGGCTGCCGGCTCCTTTCAAAGGGTCCTTCTTCTCTCATGGGGGTCCAAAAGGGAAACACGAAAACACGTGCCCACGTTTACGCCCTGTATGATTCAAAGCTGCCAGCCATCATCGGTATATTCCAGACCCAGGCCTCTTGCACTGGGGATGCGGGACACAGCTCCTTTCTGGATGGTTCTTGAGGGAAACTCAAAGGAATCCACCGGCCTGGCAGCTCCGAGCATCCATGAAATCGTCTCATGATGTCAAACAAACTCGGCAACCGATGGGATTGTGAATTTGGCAAACCGACCCTTGATTCACCCCATGGGCGGATCGGCTGAGGGGTGTCTCCTGCCAAACCAACCAAAACCACTCTCAACAGAACCGCGCGAAAATGGTGCTATTTTGTTTCTTGCCCCTTCATGCAATGCCACAAAATGGAGGCTCGCATGGTTGGCGCCTCACGTTGGAATTCGTTGTCTCAAACCAAAAGGTTCATCTGTTTTGCGAGTTTGTCATGTCAAAGACTTTCCGACGTCCTGTGCGGGGCAGGGCTAGACTCACTCAATTGACAATCACTTTCCCGAAAGCCACAACAAAAGGAACTCCAAAAGCCTCTTTTTCCAATATGGGTCAAATTGGAACCCTCGAAATTGATGGCGGCCTTCCCGAAAAACGATACTGACTCCGATGCCCCTAATTCGTCCCTTACAGTGACAGCCTCAAAACTAGCCCTGTAGCTTGTACGCTCAGAAAACCTGACTGGAGGTCCTGGAAGACCATTTGACCCTTCCCCACCCCAAAAACGCCAAATGCTTTGCGCTCCTGGCGCAGCCATGCCAGCTGCGAGTCTTTGATGGCACCCCCCATGGGCACGAACCGCGTCTGCAAACCCCGTAAGCCCGCCTCAACTCGCTTCGCATACGGGCTACTAGGGATGCTGGAGCTACGTGAACTCACATGGAACCCTTTGAGGGTCCCCCAAAGGAGATTCCTGTACAAATGGTGTTTGTTGGTGGGTCCATGGTCATGTGCAGCGGAGCAGGGCTATCGAGGACACCATACTAATCAGTGGGGGTTCTTGTTTCGTAGGCAGTCAAATCAGGGGAATTGCTGTGATTATATTTGTGCTCCGAACGCATCCGATCCTCACTTCCTGTGTGGATTTGCAACAAAAACATCCCAACTTGTTGCTTGCCAGCAAGCTAGTCTTCACAAAATAGTTGAAAACCCAGGAACTCAGGAGGTGTCAATCCTGATTTTGCCACACACACACACACATGCGCACAAACCGAGGCGCGCCCATGTCCGTGGTACCACGCGGAGCCCGGAGGTCATTGGGGTTGTGCTGGCTGAGGTAGGCAATGCCCTTCCGGCGAGCGTCTCCGCGCAAATGAGAGCCAGTGACCCGACCAGTGGACAAATAAACAGGGAACACGGGAAGAGGCCAGAGGTGCCACTGAGCAACTGGGACTCAACGACGCAGCCAATTATCTCACCTGACGCCACGAACAGAGAGAGAGGGGTTGTGGTTCCTCAAAGGAACCCAACCTTATATGGAGTTCAGCCAAGTCAAGTGCCAAACCAAGTACGTATCATTGAAAAGCAAGCCATCAAAAACTACTTGAGATGGAGCAGCCTCTTGTCGCAATACTATTCAATATCGAGCTGCTTGTTGCGCTAAACTGCTTTATGGTGGATGCGTTGAAGAACATGATACGGATCCATTCCGTCGTCCGACTGGCATAGACCCTGTGAAGCAAAAGGCAAATTGTGTAGCTGTCACTTTCAGTACATGTCAAGACTACGGTCTGAACTCGACCTGCATGGCGGAATCCACAGTTGGGTCGATCCGCAGTAGGCCCATTACAAGCCACAGTGCGCGGGTTCCTTATTCATGTTCCTGAAACTGATGCTCACAATCCACTCTTCTGATGTGCTCTTGTCTTTAGCCACGCGGACTAAGCTTCCGGAGTTATATTTGGCCATGGCTCGCAGTTAACTCAGTTGCAACCATGAGAACATCACCTATATGATAGCCTGCCCCGTGCTGCAGCATGCCCCATATATGCGTGTAATATATGCATATGTATATACATATGCCATATCTGGATCAACGCCTGCTGTCTGAAGACACCGGCCGGCTGCACGGCCGGAAGAGGACAACACAGCGCACGCCCCGCAGAATCCTCATCGATCGACTGGGCGCCATCCTTCTCGATCATGTTTATCTCATAGGCATCCTGAGCAATCGGGCGGTCCAAAGATTACTCCTCTACGAATTACACATGCAACCCCAAAAAGCATTTGCAGAGGGGACTGCTTTTGGGGACCCTACTTTGGGGTTCTATGTGAATTTGCAGCGGAGCAGCGCCGCACCAAATGCATGGCTTCCTGTGGTATCCTTTTAAATTCTCTCCACTCTCCCTTTCCTTTGGCCTCACAAGCCTCTTATATAGCCAGCGCAGCAGTGCCCAAAGACAACAACCGGGTTCACACGGATTCCCTTTTGAACATTCCCCGGCCTTCCCAAAAGGTGATGTCCACAACCACTTTTTGAGGGGGGGGCAAGCAGTTGGAACGCACAAGTCAGATCTTGTCCCAGACCTCCAGAGAATGTTCACTGGAATTAAGGCTACTCGTTTTTGGTAGTTGACTTCAAAGGGGTACCCCCTACACATTTAATAAAAAAAAAATGAAGCAGAATAACCTTAGGGCACCTCACCCAAACAAAGGCAACAGGAAGCAACCGCTGAAGTTTGAACGCTACATTTGGGTCACTTCCTCTCCACCGACTCCCGACTCGGCCGGGGCACCAGGATCACCACCCGCCAGCCCGGCACAGGCTGGAAGCTCTGGTACCAGGGCCCTCGACGGATCAAGTCGGATCGAGTCGCGGCCAGTGGAGCCCCCCACCCCCCCCCCGCCCCGGCCCTGCCAAAACTGGTCAGTCATGCTTGGCTCTTTGAGACGGAAAACGATCCTCAAGCGGCCTGTTTAACTGTTGTCCCGGGTTAAGGGCTTCTAGTGGATACCCCGAAACATCCCAAGAAAGTTGGAGATCTCAAAACCTCGCCTGGGAAACTGCAAAACAGGTCCCCAATCTCTTGGCCAGACTTGGACCCCTGCAACAAGTGACTACTGTTTGCTGGTTAAGAGAGAAAATGAAGGAATCTCAAAGGTGAAAGGGCAAAAACGTGAGTGTCTGTCATGTTTTAACATTGGCCATGTTTACTTAGTTCGTTCAGAGGTCTGCCCGCACATTGTGTTTTCAAGTTTAGGGTCCTGGGTGACAGAGCTGATTTTCCCTGCTCTACTGGTTTCCTTTTTGTCGGATCATTCCAACGAAGCCAAAAGGTGCGTCGAGTAGCCCATTAAAGAAGAGTTATCCTTTAATATGGCCCCTCTAGTCAAGCAAGGACTTATGCGCGGCTGTCGATTGAAAAAAAAGGGAATTTCCTTGATGTCACAGAAAGTGGCAATCCAAAACGGTGTGGAATTGCTTTTTTTGTTGACGCCCCCTTTTAAAAGTTGCTTTTAAAGAAATCAACAGAAAACCGCCCCATGTTGTGGCTTTTTTGGGGGGCCACTCCCAGGTTGGAGACCAACCCATATATTTTGCTACTCTCTCCAAACCAAACAAATCCAGGAAACTCCTTGCCCCCCTTTTTGGTGGGTCCATGTTGATTTGCAGAGTTCGCACTCTGTTTCCGAAGATGGGTGTCTCTCGAACTTTTGCAAGCATTCCCCTTTCTTCATCTCATATATCACCCCACCCCACCTGTTTTCGAATCAATTTGAGCACAAGAACCGTGCAGCTGAGGCACAAATATTCGGGATGAGCCTTCTCAGCTCTTGCCTGGCGCAGCTGCGCACAAGCAGCTGTTCAAACGTAGATGATCTAGTAGTCTAGGACTTAGCTACGTCCTTAGTAGCCATGCAATCAACGCACTTACCATGTCCGTCCGTCCCCAAAGTGGGTTACAAGTATATAGGTCTAATATCAATTTAGCTCACTCCCAGCCCATCTAAGTATGGTGGAAGGCTTTTCTTGTTTTGCAACCTTGTGAAGCGTAACAGCGAAACAGGCTTGCCCATAAGGGGTATTCTTCGAAAAGGGCACAAACTCCAAGCACGAGGCTCACCCATTCGGGTGTCATTTGAATTGGTGGACCCCTTGGTCCCTTTTGTACCAAGGGCAAGCCTGACAGTGCCAGCCCAGAACAAAGCCATCCGAAGAGGCCGGCAAAAGCGGATTCTCAGCTTCCTCTAGTTGGTGGCTTGGTGATTTGGAGGTTGGGTCACCCTCTACAAGAACCAGAGGTTCAACACCCCCAGTTCCCACCAATGCAAACCACCAATTCGGGGCAACCTGAAAATCGATGCTCCATGGAACGGCAAAGAAGACTGTCGACACCTGCAGTGAGCGCAACAAGCATTGCGCTTTCAAGCCACAGGTGACTTCAAAGACGAGCTCTGCTTTGTGTGGTCGTGACCAGGAGTTTGAACCATTTCTGTAGCAAACCAAGTCCCACCAAATCATCCCATGATCCCGCTCGTGGGAGAATCAACGACCCTTGCCTATTAAAGTTGTAGAGCTCGTGGTTACCCACAAGGTGAAACACCTTGGCGCAGGCTTGGAGATGCAACCACTTCTGTCATACAGGGTTACTGCCTTTCCAGTGATTCCCCGTACAGAAGTGGGCCTTGCCATGCACTCTAATTCAACTGCAATGCTGCCCATTGCAGTGCCTTTAAAGGAAAACAAAGACAAGTCACACAGGTGGGGCTTCCTATTCAACTTCACATCAGACTCCTTTACTCCGCCCTGTTTGAAATACAGGGACCCTATGAATGACGGGCTATCTCCCGAAACCCAGCGAGGAAACCAAGGGCTCTGAATGAGTTCAGGCCACAGGAGAGGGTCAGAGAAAGCCTTCTAGGGCATCCGACTGCAAACCCTCCTCCTTCCTGCTGCAAAGCCTGGCTTCCCGTCTCATTATTGTGCCACAACTGCCTAGTTGGAACTGGGTTGGTCTTTGATCAAAGGTCAAGCCAAAGACCAACCAAGGGCAAATGACTTTCTTCCAAGTATCATGAAAGTGGACAGGGAGGGAAAGTAGCCTTCCCACACGCGTCCATGACTGGTGAAGGATAAATGAGGGTTGCAGAATGCCCGAATCTCTGATTTTGTTGGGACCTGATTGGATTCGCGAGACAGATTTGGGTGTGTTTTTCGAGAGTGCCCTTTTCAGCCCAGTGTAGAGGGAAACAAAAAAAGGAAAAAACAATTTGGGGCCTCCCATTTTGACACAGACCGATTTCTATATTCTTCGTTCTATTCCTTCTCCCCCCAACCCACCCCACCCACCTTGGCGGGAGCACCCCGCCAGGCGTCCAGCACCTCCGAGTCAAAACAAGCAGCCCCTCCCCTGCTCCTCCCATGGTGGTTTGCCAATCTCCCACTTTGTCCATGTTCATGCTTGTTTGCTCGCTTTTCCATCCGGGAAACAACGACGATGGTTTGGTGCGTCCATTAAATATCGCCCTTACCCGTTCTCACACTTTGGCCTCTTCCGCTAGCTGAAGGCACATTTAACAAAGCTCCATTTACAGTCTACAACTGAAAAGGCAGAACACAACATGCACGTAGTTGGAACGGTGAAATGTGTACAGACAGCAAACTCAACAGTCGACTGGCAACATCTATGGACCCATAGGACCAAAGCTGCATTGGGTAAGCATGGGATTGCCAACAAAAAGTAGGGGGGTTGTAGGAGGACACACCATATTCGGTGAGCAACCTTGTTTTGTGCCTCCCAAAATGAAGGCTTTGATTTTGCTGTAAAGCTACCAGGCTCTGAAGATACCCCACACATTCCACATGATCGATGTATTCACTGCCAGCATAAATATATAGTGCGGATGGTCAGGGGCACGTGTTCCAGGGTGCTTGGTGAAGCCCTTAGAAACCGTGGTCATGTTCGACGCCTTCACCGGGTTCCAACCATATTTCCCTGGAAAGCGTTGTGAATAGACCATCATCTTTCAAAAAGAAGTCTGCTTTGGGCTTCGCCCCTTTGCAGGGTCGGCATGTGGCCAACCCCGGCTACAAGCTGCAAATGGGCGTGTTCACCAGACCAGACTCTTTACCCTGAAATGGCTTGCATTCATGTCCGTCTCCCTCCAAAATCCCCAAAAAGGAGCTCCTACTTTGACACAAAACAGAGCAACCTGAAACCATCGCGATAAACGAAAGCAAACCAATCTAAACGACCAAATTAAACCAACGCAAACCAAAGGACAAAAGCAAAAGCAAGCTAAGCAGAGTTCTTAGGCTCGGAATTTCGCCACAGCCTTCTGGAGAGCACTGTGGGAGTCCTTATTGGCCTCGCACTGCCTCGGATCTGAGAACCCCACGCAAACCCATGGCAGCCCCCACAAAGGCCGCCCTCTTGGAGGAAAGAGGGATCCCTGTATTTCCCCTTAAAACATCACCACTACGAAAGAGAAGCTCGCGTAAATTGCTGTTCCAAAGGGTGATATGTCAAATCACCGAAGGGGAACATAGGCAGCTCTGAAAAGGGCAAATGGCGCCACAGAACCCCAACGATGACCAGACCTTGGCGTGACCGAGAAGGACTTCGCAGATTGCAATTTCACCAGCCCGGCCAAAAGCCGGATCGCTCGCTTCACACCCTGCAAAGCTGCGGGGCTGCGCAGCAAGGCTTGATGCACCAAGAATTGCTTCCTGCTGAACCGCTTGCAAGAAATGTACATCTGATACGATTTCGCCCGCGGAATACCGTAAGGGTGACAGTCTGACCCTGCCTAAGCTCCAATCAGGACAGCAAATGACAGCGGCAAAAACTTTCTCAATAAGAAACTTAGGCTAAAACCCATCAAGTTGGCGCAAATCAAGCATAACAACACGTGGTGGCCCTTCCCAAGAATTGAAGGTACCTTATCTCAAGGCTTGATGGCCAATTATGGGCATGCCTCTCCATGGCAAGCCATGTTCAGTGCGGCCGAAGCACTGGTCTATGATGTCCTCAGCTTTCTAGCGCAAACACAAAGGGGTGTTGTCGGTCTCGTTTTGTGCTGCCTCTAAAGAGACGTTGTTGCCGCAGAAGTGGGGCCATGGTCATGGCTCAATCAAAAAGGAACCGTGTCAGGATCATTTACGTTCTGGATTTGGGTGTTTCTCGAAATTGTGGTCCTACAACAGTTGGCTTCCAGTGAGTCTTTCACAAGCTACCAACCAAAAGAGGGTTCACCTTTTTGAGAACTCTGCCCCCCCCCATACCCCATTTGTGGATCCATCATCATCCCTACCAACCCCAAAAGGAAACTCTTACCATGGCACATGCAGTCCTTGGCAAAGCTTCTGTCTCGGTGTCCGCGTCCAAACTTCCAGGACGGTCAGGGTGCCAGCAAGCTTAGACAAAAAAGACAAGCACAAAAACCTGTGTAAAGGTGGTCTGAAATCCGCTAAAGGTCCATGACCACACTTGACCCACGCTTGTGGATTTTCGGAACTGATCGATCAATTCTAAAAAACAGAACACGCAGTGAGCGACGTCGAACCGGAAGGGTCCACGCCTGAAACTTGTTTGTGCCCTAGACCTGCCCCAAGGGTACCCTCGAAGAAAGACATATCCACATGAACCCTCGCCCCACATATATGGTTGCAATGGACATGGGAAACAGAGTAAATCCCGCGTTTGTTTTGGTTAGCATTTAGTAAGTTCCGCCATGAGCCTCCCAGATGGACCGTAGACCAAACAGGAGCTCTTGACCAAACCTCAATCGTTGAAAATGACAACATCCTAATCCCAGGCTCCTAATACCCTTGACTTGCCCATTTAATTGCTCGAAAAAGAGTTTCAAGCCCCTCAGATTCTGGCAACGCGGGAGGGAGGGCAAGACTAATTGCTATAAAACCAAGAAACGGACCTTCATCAACAAGCTTGTACTCTCCCCCAGGTGAGCTCGTCATGACTCGCCCAGTAAGACTCTTCTGGCGCAGCCCCCCCCGGGCCCCCGAGAAAAGCTTCTCGGGCCGAGTCGCCCCGAGGTCTGCCACGAAGGCCAGCGGCGGGCCCTGCTGCCAGTCCTGGCGAGATGTTGCCGCGAACGAACGAAGGAATCCGGGTCTCTGAGCACGTCTCGGGGCCCGACTCTTTGGCCTTGACTTTTGGTGTCGGGCCCCGATTCGTGGGCTTCGACTTTTCGTCTTTTTGATTTCAGTTGGAGCCCATCCCGTTTGTGTCGTGTCCAAGAACACACAAGGTGTAGTCGCAAAAGCGCAGGTCGCACCACCCTAGCAAAGCCAGCCCAGCTTCAGCGGCCCAGTTTTTTGAATCTGGACTGCGAAGCCCGCCCTGACCAAACAGCTTAAATTTTCGAACCGCTGCCAGCCCACGCCACGCAAGCCCAGTCTGGGGCAGTTTAGTTTCATTGTAAAGGCGCATGGCGCAGCGTCCTAGCCCAGCCAGCATCGGCAGTCCAAGAACACATGAGCTGTACGCAAGCGCATGTCGCAGCACCCTAGACAAAAGCCAGCCCAGCATCAGCAGCCCAAGTGTGCGACCATTGGGGAGTTTGGGGGTGGCCGGGGAAAAAAAAAAACGCCAACTAAGCATAAGGGATGCCTAAGAAAGGAACCTTCAAAGACGTCGCAAAGCCCCTGGTGACGTTACAATTTGCCCAGGAAGAATCCGCTGGAGAACTTGAAAAGGTACCCAGCAAATCGTGAGTCAAGCCTCACAAATCGAAGGAACAAGAGTTGGGTGGGTTAGCTAAAGGAGGGGTCTGTGGCCTCCAGTCAAAAGTAACGCTTTGTGATAGCAAGAAACCAGTCATGATCCACAAGGTTAAAAGGTTACAAGGTTAGAGGTCGTTCTATAAAGCAACTAAAGGTTGGGATTGCCCCAGCAACAAACCCACCGAGATGCCTTAAACACAACCAAATTTGTTTCAAGAACTTATTCCATTAGTTGGCTTCTTGGAAAGCCCACGAGCATGTCCTGCCCTTAATTAACTCCCCTCCATTCCTCACCTGTCATGAGATTGCAGTCGACCTCCCGGATGCCAGACCTGACAAACTGGTCCCTTGACCGAAAATTCCCCAACGACCAAACCAAACCTGAGAGAGAGTGGGAGAGAAAGTAAATAAGTAGGCAAGCAAGCAAGCAAGCAAGCAAGCAAGCAAGCAAGCAAGCCAGCCAGCCAGCCAGCCAGCCAGCCAGCAAGCAAGCAAGCAAGCAAGCAAGCAAGAGAAAGAAAGAAAGAAAGAAAGAAAGAAAGAAAGAAAGAAAGAAAGAAAGAAAGAAAGAAGGAAGGAATGAAAGAAAGAAAGAAGGAAGGAATGAAAGAAAGAAAGAAAGAAAGAAAGAGAAGACAGAGAAGAAGGAGAAGCAAGAGAAGAAAGAGAGACACAGAGAGACACACAGAGAGAGAGAGAGAGAGTGCAATCTATTTCAACTTGTGAACTCATTTACCCTTGCATTTATGTTATGTTTTGCTACCAAATGTCCGAGCTTCAGCCCCTTCCAGCCCGAATCCCTCCGTATCCCGCGGAGCCGTCCTCCACCGCCGCTCTCAGCGCATCCAGGGCCTGCCGGTACCTCCTAACCTGCGTCCGCCGGAAGTTCCAGGCCTCGGAGCCGCGCGGTCGGGACCCGTTGAATGCCTTGTTTCTTTGGGCTCTCCTTTCAAATCGAGAACCAGAAGAGGCTCCAACGTCTTAAGAACCCGGATATGAAATATAAACGTGGATCCCAAGGATGTACATATATATGTGTATTTGTATAGTTGTATGTATACGTATGAATACAAATAGTATGTGTATATATATATATATTATGTGGAAGGCCCTAATGGGTGTGATGTTCTGTGGGGATCCCTTTGGTAGGCATCATTTAGGTGTGGCTTCACGTCCACCAGCCGCTTGGAGGTGGTTGCCTACCAACCCCTGGTCAACTCCTGAAAGGTGTTACTGGTGGTTGCAACCCAAAACGCCCAAAAATCGGGTCTGGAGCACCCGAGCTGGAAGCGTCATTGAAACATGTGGGTCTGTCAGAACAAGGGCTGGTTTCCCTTTGGTGTCCCCTTGAAACAAGCCCAACAAGGGTACCCTGCGAAAGGACATACCTGTTTCTCCAACGAAAAAACATGTTGAGTGCCCTCCCAAAACACAGAAGGAGTGGCTGACTGGCACCACGCGATGATGCTCCCTTTGAAAGGGGACAGAAGGGCTCCCATGGTTTTGCTGCTGGCCACCGCAACAAGCGCAACTTGCCCTTTTGGTTGGCGCAGGCTCCAGCAGGTCTGTCTGTGTGCCCAAATGCGCGCCAAAATCCCGGTTCCCCTTTAAACACACAAACATCTGGTTTTGTATCAAAGAACGGCACACCCGCATGAAGAATGTTCACAAACCAACGGTAGACTACAATATGGTCAGTGCCACATCGTGGTGCCTAGCGCCTGAAATGTCGTGGCCTTCCATCGAGGGCCCGGCGTCATCCACGTCTGCGTACCTGAGTGAAATCCAGAAAAGTCGAAGGTTCGCGGGGTCCACAACTCGCCATCCTGAAATTGTCGACATGGACCAAGGAATCTTCAGGGAAGTCGGTTGCCAAGTCTGGGAAAGCCTCCCTGCACAAAGCTTCCTATTTGTTCGAGCCATTTGATATGTTGGATTCTGGGTCATTTAGGGAACCGTGAAATGTATAATATTGTCAAAAGAAAGCCCGGAAAGCCCGCATGCGCCGATTCGAAACTCAGGGGGACGATCACCGCCGAAAAGGATGCGATGATCAAGATCAACCAGGGCTTCCCCCAGCTGCCCAGCGACCCGAGAAAAAGGGATCATTTTTCATGAGGGACCCGAACAAGGGTGCCACTGCACAGCTGGGTGCGCCTTGAATCCGGGAATCAAGTTGTATTTTCCGCCAGCTGATAAAATCCGGCAAAGGTGGCATTTCGCTGTTTTTGATTGAGCAGAGCTCTTGCCACTTTGACAACCATTCTCATTCAGATTCCGGTTTCACCCTTTCGAAGCAGCTATCCGGGCTGTTCAAATGGAGGGTCGGCCAATTCTGCTCAATAGTCCCTTTTCGGGAAATCACGAGGGAGCAATATCCTTACTAGGGTTGGACATCCGTGGCCCGTTGTTCAGCGACCCTGGCAAAAAAAAGATTAGGAAGCTGTTTTGGTGGATTGACCATTTTTAGGGGGCCCCGAACACAGCAAGCAAAAAAAGGGTTAGAGGGTGGACTCCGCGTTCCCCCGCAAACCCTGCTCAACCCTAGACCCCCACAAAGTCAACTTGCTGCTGCTCAAAACAACGGAAAATGAAGGAAAACCACAAAGGTCGATAGTCAAAAACCAAAAAAACGGTCAGCCGAGGTCAGCCAAAGTCTGGCCAAAAATCCAAGGAGCTGAACATCCGCCACCACCCCGAAACGCAGCGCTGGAAGCGCCGCGGAAGGCGTCATGGCAACAGCGGAGGAGACAAAGTGGCGCTTCCGCGCCAGCACCAGCCCGCCTCGCGCAAGACAAGGGGTTTCCTGCAACAATCAGTGGCCATTTTGAGGGGTTCTCAAAGTGGTTTCGGGGGGTTCCCTTCAAACCACCGTTTTAGAGGGTATTTGTAGGGATCGCAAAAGGCAATGTTTCACAGCATTGGACAGTCAAAGGACAACAGCCACCGAATGACAGTCCCCATCAACGACCAGACCCGGATTCCGCGCAGCTCAACCATCCACGGGTGGCCATCACGGCCCAAAGGGTAAACGGCGCAACAACTGCGTAGGTTTCTGTCTTGAAGCTACTCCCTCTTTTGTGGTTGGTGTACAGGGCAACTGAAGGAAAAAAACATGATTTTGGGGAACCCCGTGTTTTCACATTCTCATGTAGAATACTTTGAGAGAACATCCCCTCCTCGCAGGCAAGCTCGGCCACGCCAACTGAGCGAAAGGTTGACGCCGAGCGCCGCAGCCCGGCAAGTGGCCATGCGCTGCGACACCCGCAGCCCAGTCCCCCGACCCAAGTCCACGTTAGGGGCGGGCAGGCCCCGCAAGCGGGCAAGGCGGCATCAGACGGGGTAGCAGACAGGGGGCTTGCAAAACGAGTCTGGATGAGGCGCCTTGCCACGGTCGAGCCGGCGTCTGGCCAAGCAAGCCCCCAAAGGCTCATGGGACTCACACTCACTCAAGGCTCGTCAAAGCCTTCACCAGGCGACTATATGGGCGCATGTTTTGAGACCCAGCCGCCTCTATGTGCTTCTTCCCTTTTGAAGCGACTCAACTAGAAATTAAAAGGCGGAATGCTGTCAATTGCGAGGGGTCGTTCCCCAATCCCAATCCGCAAGCTGCTGTGGGACGCCATCACTACCATGCTCTACAAGGATTAAGCATTGACTTTGAACAACCCCGTTTGTGAACATCCTCACAAGCACCCTCCAAATGGAGTTCCATACCACCCCCAAAGGTCATCAGAACCCCAGCGACGCCTGCCACAATTCCCAGCGCGGAGGCTCGGCGGAAGCAGCGCATGTGCAACCCGAAATCGGGTGGACCCCACCCAAGGAATGTGGCTTTAGTGGCTTCCCTTAAGAACCATGTTCAAGGCGTGTCTCCCCAAGAACAAGCCAAAACAGGTCCTGCGGAAACTAGAGCCAAAGTCAAACCAGTGCCATCTATGTTTATCCAAACTGACTCAAATAGGACACCTGTGTTTCCTGTTGGTTTCTCTTCAACTGCAGCTGGCTTGGTGCGGAGTGCTGCGTAGTGCTGTGCGGTGCTCGGTAGAGTTTGATGCGGGGACCGCGGGACAAGGGCCCTCGCCAACAGGAAGCTCGCTCCACATCAGCCGTTGCAAAAGAGGGTTTAAACCACTCTGGAACCTACCACAACCTACAAACTTGCCAAACAACAATTCCCTAGGTCGATATCTTCACGGAACATGTCGTTTTTGTTTCAGGCCGAGCTGGTTTGCTGGAACCCTGCAGATGCAAATCGTAGCATGCCCCGCTTTTCCGCTGTGAGCACCGATTGGGCTGCAGTGCCGGCGGCGTGCGGGCTGTGGAAGAATCAGTTGGCGGAAACAAACCTCTTTTGAGGTTGAAAGGTTCAAGGCCAAACCACAGAGCCAAGTTGAAAGCAGCAACCAGGTTGGAGATGCGCCTCCTTAGGGACTGGTAGTGAACAACTTGAACACCCGAGGTGCTCTGAGACTCGTTTTTCAAAAGGGGGGCCAGAGGCAAGATTCGAAGGGAACGATGCGGGCGTGTCCTCTCGAAAGGTGCCTCTTTTGTGGGTTGGTTTTAAAGGGACCCATTTTTTTTGTTGGGATCCACCATTTTGAGACAAGCCAATATGGCAATATGGCTGTGTATCACAAGTACTTGGAATTGTTCAGATGCTGTTGTTCCTTTCTTCTTTCACAAAGCTCGCTTGCCCAAAGCGAATCAACCTTTCGCCCTTTTGCTGCAACCATGGAAAATTTCAACTAGGCGTGACACAAAAGAGTAAAAACAGTTGGCTTACAGCCATGTACGCCAAGCATGGCCATGTCTCTAGAGGCTCGGTACCCTTTCCACCTTGGTTTAAAGAGAACTCAAAAAGAACACCCTATTTCGACGCAGACTGTGAAATGTCGTTCCTCCCAATGTGGGTGTGGAGGACCCATTTGACGGCACCTGCTCGGGGGACATGTGGCCGGCAATGGAGCGCAGAGCCTGGCGACACAAACGCAGCTCCACTAGTCCACACAGGTTCCTCACAAAAATCCATGGAAGATTATTGAGTGGGTCTAGATACAACTCTAGGACCAGTGACTATCATTTTGTTTTGTGTGTGTGTGTGTGTTTTTTTCTTTTGTTTTCCGGAGGTATTACATGTCATCAAGGAGATGTATTTGATCGCGACGAGTGACTGCTTGGCGGTGGTGTAGGACTACGGCCCTCTTCAAAGACTGAGGTAGGCCCCATGGTTTGCGTCAGCTCCCAAGACCCTGGTCACAATAGAAAGTTAAGTCTCCTTTCAGGTTCCGGTTCCGTTACAAACCGCCCAGCCCCGGCCGCTACAAGAGCGCCGTCGTCCCAAGGAAATAAACCCTTTGGTCTCTGAAATTCAAGGTTTCCGGCTTTACTTCTGGTCGCTCATGCGATCACCTTTTGGGTTGCCTTCTCACAAACACTGAAGGTATGGACCCTTTTACGAACCCCTGGTATGAACTTGGCCAACATCTGAGGTACAATGATATGTTCAGATTGTGTTTCATGCTTAATCTAAAAAACGAAATAGTTCTGGAGGAGACCCCCACTTCATTGGTGACTCAATTATGCACCAAAGGGGGTCCAAAATGGCCATGCACCAAGGCCTAAATTCTACTTTGACTCCAAAGCCCCCAAAAAATAAGCGATCCCCGAGTCGCGGGGATCCCTCAAACTGAAGCATTGACTTTTCGCTCCATGTACATCGCTGGAATCGCCTCCAGCGCCTTCTCCCGAACAGTGATCTCCTCCACGTTGCACAGCTCCTGCACCCGAGCACCACTTTCTTACCGGGACTGGAGTGTTAATAGAGGACAACAAAGCATGCGCCCAAAATGGGCATGGGACTTGCCAGAAATGGCTTGGGCTCCGTATCTCGGAAAAAAATACGCCCAAGAAGTCCCCAACAGCATGAGCCAAGCTTCCCTGGATCTTAATTGGGAACCTCCCAGAGAACCTTCCGGAGCGTGCTATTGACCCCTCAGCTCTTCCCAGCGGCTCCGGGTTGTCTGTCTGAGGCTTGGCCTTTAGGGTCGGGATCTTCAGGCTGGGTTTTTGAGAGACAAGGGGTCTTTGTTGGGAACAACCGAAAAAGAGGGGGCCAAATCCTCTAGTACACCCCCCCAAAAAAAAATATAAAAAATATAAAGGTTCTACTCTGGCATTTTGAACACCCTACCCTGACTCACAACTTCTTGTCATTTTCCTTTGGCGGCTACCCCATGTGAAAACTCAGGCCTGAAAATAGTGTCCTTTCGAGATTCTTCCCTTGCGACTCCCAGTTTCGACACATTCCCCAGGGCCCCCCTTGTGAATGACTTTTCCGACTTACCCATTTTCAAGCGCTCGCGCCTCGAGGGGGCCGATCAAGGCATGGCAAAAAGCCGGCCCGCCGACCAAATCCACGCCGTTCCTCGGCCCGGAGCCCGATGAGACCGAAAGGCCCGGGAGAAGATCTCAGGGAAATCGCGGACAAGGCTTGTGCCTTGGAAGCAACCAGGGTTGGGAAAAGGCCTAAAAATGACTTTGATAACAGTCAAAAGAAACATGCTGAGCCAAAACGAACCGACTTTGGGAAAATGCTGTGAGATTCTTCAGGGTGTCTACACGTCTGTTCCCCCGCACCGTGCTAAGGGGAAGCGAAAGGGCTTACCAAGACGTTGAAAACCGAAGGCAAGATCATGAGCCTGGCGAAGGCGCAAAGTCACCCCTCCAGATGGTGTCTTCAAAAGGGAACCAATTCCAGTTCCTGACTTTTTCACACCTTCCTCCAGAGAACGGTCAACACGACGGCATTTGAAGTGCTGTCCTCAAAGCCATCGGGGCCCCTGCCCCAGCTGCTCCGCCATGGCCACCAGGACCTGGGTGTTTTTTTTCTTCCGCCGAAAAGGACGGCCCGGAAGTCTTTGAAAACCAGGGATGCTTGGCAGGATCCTATTCTTGGTTGGTCTTAGCAGCAACTTGAGGAAATTGGCTTACATCATTTGATCTTGCGAATACTGCGTACTCTTCACTTGTTGAACAGTCCCTACATTCTTCTGAAAGGCTTCTGATCAAAGGGTTCGCATCGAACCTGTCTGGGGGGTATGGGGCGGGGGGTCTCTTGCAAAGGGGCATTTCTTCAGCTAGTATTTTTTGTTAAGCAACCCTGTGGGTTCAAGCACCGAACAACAAAGTTTGTGAGCCATCCTGGTGGTTGATGTCCTTTCGATTCCCACGCTGATTCCCTGACTCCGGAAAAAAGAAACAAAGAGAGAAGCCACGCTGCCATCTCGGCTTCTTGCATCCTCTTTGCCATGTGCGGGCTTTGCAAGCTGAACGTGACAAAGTGGTACTGACGCAGTGAGAAAACTCTCCTCTAAACAGTCATGCTGTATAGGCATTCGGCCAAAACTGTTCCTTTGCCAGTTCTGATTCCCCGACGTGTCCCGTCAAGAAACACCAACCATGTCGAATGCAATGTCAGGATCTCAATGTATGGCATGTGCATGCAGCATCATCAACAAATAGGGATGGACTGAGTAAGTACAGGGAAGCAAATAAATTTAAGCTGTACGGAGTGACTGGCAAGCACTGAAAACTCACCTTGGGTCTTGTTGCGCCCTTCACGAACCACCAACCTTGCCACTCTTGCCCTCCTCCTCCTCGCCAGTGAGAGCCTTGGTCGCCTCAACGGGCCCCGTCTGCTTTGCGGCTTCAATGCCTTCCTTCACCTTCTCTTTGGCGTCAGGAACACTGGGCTTCTCAGCTTGCCCGCCGACCAGCTGGTGCTTGCAAGCCTCATAGCCGTGAACCATTTTCTCCTGCACAGCGGATAGACCGCTTTGCACCTTGTCCATGAAAGTTGGGTCCTGCTTCTGTGTCTCGTCTGAAGGCTTCTCGGCCACTTGCTGCACCTTCTCCTTGGCAGCATCGTAGCCCTCAGCCGCCTTCTCTTGCGCAGTCGCAAGGCCTTGCTCGATCTTCTCCTGCAGTCCGGGGTCCTCTGGTGTCAAGGCAGCATCGTAGCCCTCAGCCGCCTTCTCTTGCGCGGTCGCAAGGCCTTGCTCGATCTTCTCCTGCAGTCCGGGGTCCTCTGTTGTCATGGCAGCATCGTAGCCCTCAGCCGCCTTCTCTTGCGCGGTCGCAACGCCTTGCGCGATCTTCTCCTGCAGGCCCGCATCCTTGGCATTGTCATGCTTGTTGTCCTTGCCACCCACTAGCTCCTTCGTGGTCTTGTAGCCTTCTGCAGCTGTCTCCTGCGCTGCTTTCAGGCTCTGGCTCACTCTTTCCTGGAGCGGCCCCTGGCTGGACATAGCGAGATGCGAAAGGATGCGAGGAGGCTGTGCAAGCGATGGATGGGCTTGGTCCAGCGAGCACGCCTTTTGTTTGAGACCAACATGAAACAACCAAACAAACAAAACCACAAACACATGCATGCAAGCAATTCGCAGGCCAGCGATCTAAGTTCGCCCGTGTGACCCTTGTGGGAGCAACCCCAACGCGGGCAACCAACCAGAACCAGTCTGTTTCATCTGGATTCTGTTTCAACTGTTTCCACTGCTTTGTTTTCTGGATTCGATTTCCACCGTTACCTGTCCAAAAGCCTGGCGCTCTCTCAGCTGTATCTCTGGGGCAACGCTTTTGGACTTGGCACGGGAAAGTTTGCATCTTGCCACTAGAAACCCACAGGAAACTGCCCAAAACCCTGCCAAACCGATGGGGGCCTACCTAAAAAAAACTGATGCACTGATACAAATCTGTGTCCTCAATTGTCCCTGAGGGCATTCTCACCTTGGTTTTGGCAGCCCCCAAATTCAGGCGCCCGGTAGTGTCCAATCCCCAAAGATACAGCAAAGTCTCTCAGGCCGAAGCATCGTCGTCGTCATCGATGATCTCCTAGCGGCACCGAACCAGGCGCCCAAAACGCAAGCAACATATGACCGTTGGTTGATGCCCCTTTTCGGATTTGGGCTTTGTTTTAAAGGAGAGGTTTGAGATGTTTGAGGCAAACCCAAATATGATTGTTCAATCCCAGCTCCCAAAATCACATCGCAGCTTCCAAGAAAGGACTATTGCTGTTGGCCAAAGTGTGGGGCAAGCCTGGGTGGAGGGCCTATGTACATGCCACGAACTCCTATGTACTATGCATTACAAGTCCACAAGCGGAAGCCATTCTTTTCGGAAACTCTTTTTGGGGACCCCCCCCTTTTCGGTAGTAAAGCAAATAGCAAATAAATAGGATTCGCCCAAAGTACCTATAGCAAGAAGTGCGTGAGCTCACTATAGTGCAAATACAGATTCAAAGGCACGGCAAAAAAAAACATGGCCCCCTTTCATGAACACGTTCCCTAGTGGCCCTCAAAACATCACTCAGTCGCTATTAGGGTGCAATTGGCTTCCGTTTCCATTTCCCGCATGAATGCCTGGAACCTGAATAACCATAGAATGGTGCTTCCCAAACGACCATTTCTTGTGAAGAGACCTGCTTGATGGAAAACAGTAGTTTGGGAACAGCGGTTTGTAAACGATTGTTTTAGGCAGGTGATTAAAAAAGAAGAAGAGAGCAAGCAACGCAACCAGCAAATAACAAAACTAAGCGGAATCTCCCTCGACGTGCCTGGAGGAAAGGCAACAGCTCCTCGCGAGTCCTGGAAGAGCCAAGACGGGGGGTGTTGAATCTTGATACTTTCTTTGCAACAAAGGCCTTCCTGGAAAGAGGGTAGTGTGGAGGCAAAGGGAGCCAAATGGATCAAGATATGTCCACGGTAATTGTTGTAGTGCGACTCAACAGAGTTCCTAAAAGCTCGAACCCCGATTCCTTCCCGCATTTGGCAAGGCATAGACAGACGCTCGTAGGTCGTTGAATGCAAGAACGTACTACACCCCTGAAGGCCTACATGAATCGGGAGCGTCTGCAAACTCATGGGGGTTCCCCAAGAAAGGAGCCTTCATGGTCGCTCCAAATAGATGGGACCCAACGCCCCTCTCGAGGAAAACCAAATCAAACAGCCGGGGACAAAGCTTTAGGGTCCGTCGGAAGAAGCTCTCTGGGGCGAATGTTTACAGACGGTGAGCCTTCAAAACCCCCACGAAAGCAACTGGTAGAACCACCTACCAAACTGGTAGAACCACCTACTAAGGAATCAAAGTGGTACAACCACTGGTAGAAGCACCTAAGTGGTAGAATCAGCTCAAACTTGTAGAGCCACCTGTGAAAACGGTTGAACCAGCGGGAAAAGGGAGAAAGTTGGGCGCTCACCGCGTGCGCCTCTCAGGGCCCAGGGCGGTGGCGATGGTGCCCAACTGCTTCACTGCGCTCACCCGCAGCTGCAGATCGTCGTGCCTGCCGATGGATCAAGCCCCTTGGCGTGGGCTTGGTTTGCCTAGGGAAAAAGAATGGGCCCTGTGAATCATGGGACAATTGGTTTGTTTTGTACCTTCCCCAGTTGGCGTCAATAATGGGACATTGGGAACAACCCAGGATGGGAACCCAGTTGATGGATCAAACCCATGGATTTTGATTGGGAGGTTGATTAATAGGGGGTGTCCCCTTTTAGATGGCGTTCTAGATGAGAAGCTTCGCTTCTTGGAGAAACACCCCTCTTTAATTCACCAGGTTGACTAACCCCGGGTCGACATTCTCCGGAGCCCCGAAACCCGGGCGCAAGAGCACAAGAGAAGTGGGGCGCGGGAATTGGTATGTGTGCAGTCTTGACTGATTTGAAAACATGCGCAGGTGTGAGACTACAGACTCTCAAACGTTGGTATGCCCCCAAATAAGGGACATGTTCATACTGGCCGGTGTCGTGTTCAAAAAGACCTGGAAGACAACTTAATTCCCCCTATTTCGAACACGTGAATGATGGGGCCTACCTTTCGAACACAATACCTGGACCCTCCATGGGCATACTCGTAAGTATGTTGATGATGCCTGACATTTCTGCACGCATGCCTGTGGCACGGGTCAAAAGTGAATCCCCACCCTGTCCCTCCCAAATGAACCATAGACTACCTTGGTGACCCCCCCCCCCCCTTCCTACCTATATGAGCATAACCTCACATGAGGTCAAAACCAGAAATAAACCAGAAACCAGAAACCCCAAATTGAAAACCACGCATTGTAAGACTAAACCTCACGTCCGCGCGTGGGACTTGGGCACGGCACACCGTGACCTGAGGATCCGGCCGCAGCTCATCGATGAGGACGGCCACAGGGTATAGGGACGAGTCCACCCCGCCAACCTCGGTGGATGCCCCCATGTTGCAAGTAGACCAACACACACTCTCCCACAAAACCATGGTACATTAGGGTATATTGGGGTTCCTTGGTCCCTTACTTGCAACGTTAAGCGCTTCCACGGCAACAGTGAACATCACCCACTCGCTTCTGTACCAAACTGCTTGCCTCCGAACCCTGGTAGGAGCAAGGAGGGGAGCCCCAAAAGCTGGCCTCATTTGAGTCGAAAGTCCGGTGGTGGGGCCACTTGTGAGCGCCCCCCAACCCCGACTCCGCTTTTCTCTGAACCACGTCCATGATCTCACTTGTCCAGTGGCAATGGGAAAGAAAGGAGACACATCGCTGGGGTTTTCTGAGAAAAACAAAACATGGGGAAATAAAGCATCGTCAAACATGAGCAAGCATGGGAAAACTTGTCTTATCCCACAAAACAGACCGGCTCTCGTGCCCCGGAACCCACGGCTTTCAATTCATTTCCGCTTGGCCGAGGCCCGGGCACTCATCAGGCCTTCGCGCGAGAAGCAGCGTCAGCTTCTTTGTAGGTAAGGGTTGGCCAAAACTAGGGCCCCTGTTTGGTAGCCCCTCTGAAAGGCGCAAGAAGGCACCAGGGTCAACAAAGGAACCAGCCATATGTTTGACAACCCTCTTGATCTATCACACATGTTTGAGCCTCGGGATCAGCAGCTTGGACTTTTGGGATCCTTTCTGGGCAAAATATGGAGATGCAGGCTGCCCTTTCCAGGTTGGTTCAAAGGGCAAGCCACCATTCTGGGGGTTTCCCTATTTTGACGCAAGCACAATTCTTGATCCAGCAAACCGTGGGAATGGTGTGCTATACTGTAACCATGGTTACTAATCACTTGGCGTCCCAAACCATCCAAGCGATTGTTGGCTGCAACGGAACGTCGGACAAGGGAGCCACAAGTAGGACATGTTGGAAGCGAAAAGCATCACCCCACTAAGCTCTAAACGGGGCTTGGCCTAACTGTTAGAAGGTTGCCCCGTGAAAAAAGCCACGTTTGGTTCTCCGTTTTTTTTGTTTTGCGCCAAAAGTGGGATTCCATGCGGGTCATGCGACATATATAAAACTTTAGCAGTTGCAAGGGATTCCACTTTGGTATCGCAAAAACTAAGTGCTTCTCAACACTATGCCAAATAATTGCTGCATTCTGGTTTTCCTTCAACACCATCCCAGGAGAATCGACAACTAAACGTTGCCCACAAGGACTTCCTTTTGCATTCCTATGATAAAGCAGAGACAAGCGCAGGTGTTTCTCAAAGCTTTTTTCCCGGACCCCTCAAAACCATCCAGAAAGGGGTCCGCCATCTCGAGAAACATAGTGTTTGAAGGCTATCATGTTAACCCCTGACTAACAAAGGAACTGTTTACCACGGAAAAGCAGAACCGTTCTGTGGCGTTGGAGGCGCAGGCGCCACGAAAAGGGGACCCCTCGCCCTCCGAACCTTCCGGCGTCCCGGCCTCGCACCGCGCGATCTCCCGGACATCTTCGAGCCGAAAGCGGGGGCGAGGCGACCGGGTCCAATCTTGGTGACTGCTGCACCTGCACAAAGCATTCTTTGCTGGCCTGCGGGGAACACACATTTTGGCCAAACAGGTAGAGGTACCAGATGGCAGCCGAGTAAAGTGATGTCCTCGAAGTTGGCTGAAAGGAAAACGACAGGCGGCCAAGGTAAGTTTGAGACCCAGGACGATCGCCCGTTGATCGGCCACAGTGGAGGCGACGTACTGCGGGGCAGCTGGCAGGCTGGGCCCGATTTTGAAGGCCCCCACGCTAATCTTCCAGTGCGCGGCTGGACCTAGAGAAAACCGACCGGTCAACAACTGATGAGCTGTGAACTTTGGTGGGAGGAACACAGACAGCCTCAAACAATGAAGGATTCATGTGTAGAAGGCCACATTTTGAGGACTCGTTTGGTGGAAAGCGTGTAGGGTTGCGAAGCATGGAAGCCCAGGCTACTTGGGGGGACCCTTTATGTTTCTGCCGAAGCAGCGAAAAAAACAGGTAAAACCCATACGTAGGTGGTGGGGGTGTGGTGTAGAGTTCAATCCGACTTCACTGGAAGCCAGAAGCATGGCTCCTGGAGAAAGGATCGTCCATCCCCCTTAGAGTTGACTAACCCACTAAATGGCGGATTCCCGTTGGCTTCCGTCAAGAAACATACCCGAGATGGGCGATGGACTCTCAGAAAGGGACATGCATTTGATGGGTAGCTTCAAGGCCCCCAAATCTCGCAAAGGCTCGACCATAGCACCTCGCCGCCTCGTCCATCCACCTCCGCCAGCCGCCGAACCCCTCAAACATTTTGCCCAGCTGACACGTGATATAAATACGCCTTGCTTAGGGTGCATCCTTGGTCTTTCCAAGTTGTTTGATCCGAAGCCTCCCAAGCCTCCCCCGCACTGTTTTCCCCCGCAAGCCGTGTCCGTCACTGGAAGATGGTTCGCGGCACCAGGAGCTGTCCTCCTTGCAGGGAATGCACATTGAGGGCCCAGATCATTTCAGGGGAGCCCACCAAACAAAATTGAAGATGTGCGAATAGGATTGTGGAGTGCTTAAACATCCATTCGGGGCATGATCGCAAGACAATGTGCATTATTTAGCCCTTCATGTAGGGAACAAAAACTAAAGGCCGCCCCAGGAATGGTGTGGAAGGGGGACATGGGGTCTTAGCAAACAAACAGCCTGGAGGTTGGAAAAGACTCACATTGTTTCAGCCCCCTGTAGATCCGCATGACTTCTGAAATGGGTTGCACGCCACTTTAAACCAACCAGTCGTTTAGGTGACCTTTTGGGCAAGTATTGCGTGGGACTAACACGGGAGTGTACAAATGTTTGTTGGAAGCCTAGTCGCCTCTTGGGAAGGGTTGGAGCCCTAGAGCTTTTCATCCGACAGGCTTCCGCACCAGGACCGTCTTGGCTGCACTCCAATCTGATTGCCCCGTGGCAATCTCCTCTTCGGCTTCCTTCCGTTTGCAACGCTGATGCACCAGCTGATTTCGAACAGACTTCAGTTCCGCAGCGTTGGCGGCGTCATTTGGCACCGAAGGAGCCCTGAGACATCTGCAGCCTCGAACTCAGCTTTCAAAGCGACAGCGCAAAATCCTACGGTGGCAATGAAAAAGCTGAGATGCACAATCACCTAGCTGTCTGGCCTGGCGACATGATCCCAACAGCTCCCAGCAGCACAGCTTACTGACCTTGCCATTCACCCGCTCACACAAGCTCTCCGGCAGCACTCAAGGATACAGCTACCAGCGCTCTCGCTCAAAGAAAGCCATCCTGGAAAGCAATGTAAAAAAGGAGCATATGACTTCCAAGTGAATTGGCGGTAATACCGACCACCAGTGTATACACCCTACCAGGATGTACACGCTAAGGAATACATCGCTTTGGCTATATCACATTGCCCTTTGCGAGCCCGGAAACCATGCCAACTCCGGATCCTGGAACATTTTAGGCGTCATTTCTTGCTCTGTTGGCTTGCAAAAGATTCATCTCCAGTGCGGCCCGCCAACATCCTCGCTCCATGCCCCAAATCAGTGAAAACCTGGGGGGATGCAGCATCTTTCTCTTACCAGGCCCCCCCCCCCCCCGCCCCCACGCCTCAGATTAACATGGATTTTCAAACTGGGGGGTCCTCTCCCAAATGTGGGGCCGCTAGAAATGAGTTTCCCAGGATCTGGAGGAGTGATCCCGTGCATCCCCGCCTGGCAGGCGGGCCTCCAGGCAGTATGTGGGCCCGCTGAGGTTCACCTAGCTTAGCCGTTTCGCTCAGGCCACTAGGGGCATGTGTCAAAATAGAGGGACCGGAAAATGGTGGTTTTCCTTTTGGCTTCACTTGAAATCTAGGTGAATTGGGTATATACACTCAAAAACCACACGCCCGTTAAGGAAGCCCGAAAAAAGGCCATGGGGGGAGTTCATGTCCAAGTATTGCCCCTTGCAGTCTTTCCAAGTGTTGCCTCAAGTCAGGTTGCATGTTAGGGGGAGGCAAAGCGCCCCCTTCATCCATTGATTCTCGAAAAGAAGCAGGGGAATGCATCATTTGCAGAGAGCAATCGAGAGCGTTACCCTCTAGCCGGGCTGGAACCTACCACTAAACCCTTTTTGAGAGGACAAATAGATACCAGGAAACTCGCGTCCGGTGGAAAATTCTGGGATAATTAAGCCCCCATCCTCAATATTCAAAATGTGGCGAGTAACCCTCCATGTTCTGCGTCATTCCTTTGACAACAGTCAGCAGCGGGGTAAGTATCGGGCTTGCCTTTCATCCCCCAACTTGCGAAAATACACTTCCTTAAACGGCAAACTGCTGGGGTGAATATGAGTATGTCAACAAAGGAGTACGCCCAAGATCGCAGGTGTTTGTTGTGGCTTTCCCTTTAAAGTAACCTGAAAAAGGGTAATCTAAAAGCTGACACCCGCAATCCTCACGTCTCCCGGAGCCTCCGTCTCCACCACGATCTTCTGACCCGCTGCCACAAAGACCGGAGTGTCCACCTCGATGCGACAAGGAAGGAAAATCAAAGAGTGGAGTGATTCCAGTTCACCTCTGCAAGCACCCGGCGGAACCCTTAAAAAAAACTTGGGAGTAAGTTTGGAGTCGAACTGCTCTTGTCTTTCTCTCTTCTCTCTACCATTTGAGTCTGCTTGTGTTGCGTCGTGTTTGCATGATTGTGGTTGTTTTCGCTTCAATTGTTGATTCATGCATTTTGAAGTCATGCTATCAATATGTATTGAGTATTTCTCGCTTCACTCATTTCTTCCTCTACTCCGTTGTTTATATTTGTTATTTCTTTCTTTATCTGCTTATTTCTTTGTTCCGCTATGCCGGTCTTCCTTGTTGTTGAACTCTGTCCGTGTTCTTTCCTTATTTATTTCTGTCCTTTTTCTTTCTGTCTTTGTGTCTGTTTTATACTTCTGTCTGACTGTCCTTATGCCTTTCTTTGCTTCTTCATTTGCTATGTCTGTCTTTCTTTGTTTATGTTTTGTGTTTGTTATGGGTCTTTTTTTTGCCGCTATTTCTTTCTGTTTCATTCTGTTTGTATTAAGTTCTGTTCATGTCTATCTGTGTGTTGTTCTTGTCTTTCGTTCATTCTTTCTGTATTGGCTGTTCCTTGTTTAGTCGCGGCTGTGTCATTTGGTGTCTCCTTCTGTGCTTCTTCGTTTCACCGACTATTTGTTTCTTTGCTTCTTTGTACTTGCCTGCCTTGCGTCTATGTCGCTCCTTGTCTTTCTTTGATTGCTTCCTTGGTTTATTGTCTGTTCGTTTCCTTGTGTTGTTCCGCCTTTGCGTCTTTGTTCGTTCTCTCTTCTCTCTTTTGGGTCAAGGACCAATCAATTGCTGCGAGCACAACAGTCTCGAGGCCATCTCCCCAACCTTGCCCTGCGATAGCTTCATCGCCGAGCAGCGGGGCAGAGGCTGTTCGCCCAATGGCTCTCCACCTCTGCTGAGCTCACCAGGGGTGCGCCCTGTCCGCAGTCCACAGTGATGAAGAAGACGAAGCCGGCCAATGAACCTCTCGAAAATACAACGAAAAACGGCCCTCCCTCCTCCCCCCTCGGCGGACGCAAAAAGCAACTATGCTGCAAGCTTTTCATATTTGCACTAGAATCTGGCTGGGTCCCCCACATGCGCACACACACACGGAGGCGCACAAGTTCGTTCCTCGAATGAATAGCCCTTGCGACAAGAGACCGGCGCCTGCTTTGTTGACACGTGTGATCATTGGTCAAACTCCCGGGCCGTTGGCCCGATTGCTGCACCTTTGTGTTGCTTGGCCTTTGGCAGGCGTGGGCAATTCAGGAGATCTTGCCTTTGGTGAACCCTGATGAGCTGAGGATGGCCATTGCTGAGACCCAAGCATAATTCGCAGATGTCCCTTCAAACCTCGGCCCACATCCTCAAACAGTTTCTCTCAATGGTAGTGCTCCCACCCGCAAAGGTAACTTTGGGAGAACCCACAAAAATGCGACCACGTTCAGGGGGCCAGAAATAGGTCCTGTCTTCTTGAACGACCCGTACTTCAGCTTTCCAAGGGATTTCCTCGGTACAAAAACTGAAACCCCTTCTTTAGCCAGTTAATTTCAAAAGAAGGGAAGCTCGCTCAAAAACAAGTTGCAAGGGAATCGCACTGGAGGCCTGCTAAACCTTTCATGTCAGCCTGGCTCCGTGACTGTGAACTCCAAACTTCTCTTCTGGCACCGAAGCAGCGGCTCCTCGGACAAGCGATGTCTCGGCCGAAGGACGGCATGGGATGCCGTAAGAATCTCAAACGGTCGAGAAAAAATGGAACCCTTTTTTGGGTGGAAAGTTGGGGCCCTGCAAAGGGCAAACCGGCAAACCAGAGGACACAATACCGCTGTTTTACACTACCCCTGTGGTTTGGGCATTTCGAGGATGGGAGCCAGCCTGAATTCTGGCTCCCCTGAAACTGTTGCAGCCAAAAACATGTTGCTTACTATGTTAAAAAAGAAACCAAGAGTGCATCGACCTTTTGACCTTCAAAATGAGGAGACCCAAACATGGTCGGGCTGCTGTTGGCTTCCCTTTTGCAGCAACCAAAAGGGTTCCCACTGCAAAAAACACCTCCGTATATGTGAGAAACTCTCAATACTCCCTGTCACCTACTGCAGTCACGGGAATGATGTCGGGTACACTCACAAAATTCCAATCCCTACGTGTGATCACTTTCCTGGAGATTCTGTGAGCCGCGTGCAGCAGATGCCCAAAGCATCATTGCGGGCCATGGTGTTCACCCGGGAGCAACCGGCTTGGTGTTGATGCGGAGTGACTCGTGTGTCTCAAAATCAGAAAGCAACCATAAGGAAAGCCCAAAAGGAAAAACGACCACAATGGGAGGCATGTTTGACGGGCCTAGAGGAAAGCCACAGGGAAACCTCCTTGATCTCTTCCCTTCGCTTGAACGTCCATGGTTTGGTTCTGAAAGAATGAAACACAACTCTTAAAAGGATATTCTCAAAAACGACAAACCCATGTGCGCATAATTCGGCTGAATGAGCCCCCTTCCAACTGCAGATCCGTGCAAAGGTTGGCATGTTCCCTGTCGAGAGCAAGCAAAATCATGCCACTAGGTAACTTAACCGTACCCCTATCAAAACCGAGAACACCCACCGACTCAGCGAGCCACTCAACCCCCCCCCCACTCACCCAAGAGTGGCGACCCGCTTTTCGACCAGGTCCACCACCCCCCCCCCTCGGCAAGGCCGGGAAATCACAAATGACACAAACAAAAATATCAAATGTCGAGCAAAACTGCTTGTATAATGCCAAAAACAAATGTGTTGCTTTTTTATGACATTTGCGACTGCGCACCCCGCTAATACCAAAAAAGAGTTTTCGTCAAACAAAATGGAGCCCCACCTCACCCCACCCCCCTCCCAAAACAACAAGTCAGAAATTGAGGGACCCTTCAGGTGACCGCTCGCATTTACCTGTTCTGTTTGGTTCCTCTCTGAAAGAGGGAAACCAAACTCCCACCCGTAATGTTCACCCCAGATGGATTTGTAGGGGAACATCCGGATCCCCCTCCTGACCAGGAAAACCCATACATCAACCTGGGTTCAAGGTCCTGGGTCAAGATTACATCCCCCACAGTCAGCCTCATTGTAACCCTTGGTAACTTTTTGTAGTAACCCCTAGTGACTCATTCGCCAACTGGATTCCCATCCAGAGCTCCTGATCCCAGTGCAGATCCTCGAAAATCCTGGGCTCTGCCAGCAGGCACTCAGACACCTCAGCGCCCGGGTCAGGGTCCGCGGAGAAAAAACACGTCGAACTCCAGGGGTTTGTAGTGGCCCCTGCAGACAGGGGAACAAACTGGTCTTCTGCTTGTCCCGAAAATGGTAGATCACGGTGAAGGTAGATGGCATGCCTTTTGTGTGGGTGTGCAAAGGGGATGACTATACCGACATGGGCAATTGCGCCATCTTTCACCCATCCGTGCCCTCAAAAAAAAAAAACGACCCCTGAAAGCTGGGAACCCAAACCCATCAGAGCGGCAGGCAGATTCGGCAGCCTCAGCAAGCCCTCGCTGGGTGCGGCCAGCAGCGTGCCCGTGCGGGCGCGGTAGTCCTGGAGATACCTGATCTCGGAATGTCCGGTTTGGCTTGACTCGCCAGCCGTTTTCCCCTGGTCGTTGCTTTTGTGGAACGGATCTGCGTACTTACCCCAAAGTCCGGAAACTTGGGGACGTTCAGGGAACCAAACGGAAACCATCCGAGTGGGCTCCCAAATTTGGAAGAAAAACTCTCATGATATATGGAAGGTGCGTGGAGGTCCTTGAATGACCAGATTTTGAATTGGAGCTCCTGTGCTCCAACCGAACGGTCCGAACGAATCGCCCAAAACGCCCCGCAGCGCCTCGGCCCCGGCCACCGCGCCGGTGCCAACCAGGTGCACGCGCGCCGCGGCACGGACCAGGGAGAGGCCTCTGTGAGATTGGCAGAAACAGGGGCCTCTGTGGGTCAAAAATCGGGCAACCCCAAAGTCGAAGCCTGGTAAATGGAAACATGGACTACCACCTGCGGTCCCCTGGTGGCTTAATTTTGACCCATACCCAACTGGGTCTACCTCAGCTTTTAGCCTTTAATCACAAGACACTTTACACCAATACGCCCAGAGGCACAAAAGCAGTCCGGTCCATATTCAATGGACCTCAATGCGAAATAAGTTCAGTTGAAAATCCCAGCAAGACCACAGTTTGCCTTTCGGCTGAAAATACACATTTGTAAGGGGGGCGATCCTTTGTGGGGGTCACACTGAGTGCGTCTTCCCGAGCCGATCTAAAAATACAGAAGCTTCCAGGAGATCCAAAATCCACCAATGACCGGCCATGAAACAACCAGCCCCCTCCAACAGGAAACCAACAGGAGGCCGGTTCTTCAAACGAATTGTCGCTGGTGTCACTGATATGTTGTTTAAACCAAGTGGTTTGATCCAGCCACTTAAACATGGTTAGGGTTGCTCCAAAGACTCCGGCAAAAAAGGGCAGAAATTCAACCTCTGGTCAGGGGCAACCAAAGGAAGCCAATCCAAATTGCCTTCCCTTGTGTGTCGGTGACCCCGTTTATCCAATCCCGGCGAAACCCGGTTTTTGGGTCAAAAAAGCAGGGCCCCCTTTTAGCAACGATGGTGTCTCAAGTCAGGGCTTCCTTCCCATTTCGAGTTGCCTTCGCTTCCGGGCGCAGGAGGCGCTCCGCTTCCGCAAGGGAGGACACGACGCCTCAAAGCGGTCGGGGCAAGGTACAGCATAAATACAGGGCGCCTTGTTTTACGGCTAAATACAAACTTTCGGGTACGGTGGGTGAAAGTAGATGGCACAATTCCTTCATTTTGGTTTCGTCATGCCCTTTACTTAATCATCCTTGTGCCATCTACTTTCACCCTGGTGTACCTTTTCCGTAGGCCATGTACAACGCTTCAAAGGGTGTGCAATTCCTGGAAGCAGGCCACCTGGAAAACCCTCGACATAAACTTGTACGGGAAGCGAAGGCTAACCACAAAGCGGATCTCCCTATTCACAGCTGCTTGCATGACTACGGTTGACACAGCCCAAGTGAGTTGTATGTAGAGCAAATTTTTGGGGAACTCAGAAAACAGGGTTTTTAACCACGGAGTGTGGTGGTCATCCAAATAGCAGAATCTTCAACCACGGAGTGTGGTGGTCATCCAAATAGCAGGGTCTTCAACCACGGAGTGTGGTGGTCATCCAAGTGTTGACAGCCAGAGGATTGCAAGGCAAACAAAAAGCATACCCAAAAAGTCAAAGCACAATACAACTACCCCTGCCACTGGGAACAACATTACCTTCCTACTCCGACCCCTCAAACAGAAACTTGGGTTGCTTCCTACAAGACTCCCACCAGCGCCTTCGCGGCTGGCGATCTCCCCCAACACCTCATGGACCACCAGGTCCACGGGCTCCGGCAGCTCCAGGTCCTCTCAACATGCCCTGCCAGCCGGCCAAAAGAAACCGAAATCGAGCAACCCGGCTCTACTTGGCTTCGTTGGGAGTACTTCCAGAAACAGTGTGTCTGCACTAAGGGCTGCCCTTTTGGGGCACGCTTTTCGGCTGCGCAGGCCGAGATGTGCATTGCAGCTGCGCAGGCACAAAGTGCGACGAATTTGGTGCCTTTCGAGGAGGTGCTCTTTGTGGCGCCGTGCGAATTCCGACTTTAGGTGTGTTGAGTCGCTGTTGTGACAGACTTTGGGTGGGTTGGATCAGCGTGGCGCGGTGCCAACTTTGGGTATCGCAGGTGAGCCCTCTGCGGACGTTAGGCGGGTCGAATCGCTCTCGCTGCGGCGCGGTGCAAAGTTCCAACATCGCAAGGCAACCCTCTGCGGACTTTGACGTTTTGGAACATCGGCGGGTGGGGTCCCTTTGTTTGTGGCGCGGTGCTACATGTTGAACATCGAAAGTAAACCCTACGGAAGAAGTAAGTAGAGGTGTTTGTCAAACACAAAAAAACGTGACCTGAGGAAATCTTATCCCCTCGTTCACCGCGCGTTGTTCAAACGGTGTTGTTTCATCCCAGGAAACAAACATGTAAGCCCGACCCCTCCCCAAATAGCCATAATTCCCCCGCGCCGGCACAACACGCTTTTCCCGCAGCCGCCCTGAGCTCGCGAAATTTGCTCGAACGAACAAAATAATGAATGAATCGACAAACATGAAGAACCAAGGTTGGAAAGTCGCGGGGCCAAATAAGTATTAGGATTTGCTCTTGCGATCATGACAAGGTTGGCTTCCCCCAACAACCACCTTACGACCCCCTTCAGTTTCGGGGGCATTGGCTGGGCCGCAGAACCTTCTTATACCAAATCCCACCTGCGAGCGCCCCTGCAGCACCTGTATCTGCGGCCAGCTGCGCACCTTCTCGGCCGCGCACGCGGCCGCACTAGGGTCCACCTCCACCTAGCGCCATTTGAAGCAACCCAACTCAGAAAGGGCTCCCAGTTGGTTCTTGCAAGAAAACCGAACCCGGGGCGTAGCAGCACCACTTCATAAGCTCAAAATGTGCGCGCGTGCTTGCGGCGGATCTTGTTCCGGGGTAGTTTCCATAAATGAGTTCTTGGCTGGTGCACAGAAACCTCGAGTTTGCTCTATCCTCTCGTATGCGATGCTGCTAGGGCGCTCTGGGCCTAACAGTGATCAGTTCATGCTTCATCTGGTGTGAAACCTGAAGAGAAGTTTGCACTTAAGGTGGCAGTTGTCATCGGAAATGCAAGGCGTTGCCTCCATAAACACTATAGTCATTGCACTACAAGGAGCCAACCCTTATTCTCAACTGCCAACGCAAGAAAAAATCACACCGGCCGGCCGAAAAAGCCTGGTGCCAACTCAGAAAACAGGGCGGGCAGATTGAAATTTTGAGGGAGGTAGCCAGATGCAGCCTCCAAAGCAAAACCTGGAATGACATGGGCCGCAGAGAAGACCTTCCCGATTTAAGCTAGCGAAAAACTGACAAGTAGACCATCCCACTAAGTGCAATGTACGGGAAAACGATGCTTTCGCGCAAGGCAAACATATCAAGGTGTCCTGAATTGGCAGTGGGGCTGTCAAGACGAGAGACTACCACACAAACGAAAGCCCCGGGGGCCGCCGCAAAGCGGAGACAGCCGTGTGGTTTGACGGATGCGTAGGCCTTCGGGGATCGGGCGGGTCCAACCGCATTGTCTGCACATGACGGAGGCGAGCACTCCCAACGCCTATGCAGACTGTCACGACCACACATGTCACGCGGATCACCGTTGTGCTCAATGTATGAGAGAGCATCTCTAGTAAACCTAGACCGAGTCGGACGGGTCATGGCCATGCTCTTTTCAGCGGACCATCCCCACCAACCCAAGTATTACCAGGGTTTATATCACAGTCAGACCCAACGAAAAGCAGTGTCCCCTTTGGCTTGCTGTTAAGCCAAGCTGAAAAGCGTACCAATTCCAAAACGCACACCCCGCAATAGTGCTTCTCAAAGTAAGCAAAATCACCTAACATGGTTGGTTTGCTTTTGCTTTCCCTTCAAGCACCTGGGTTTCTCTTTTCTACCCTTTCCTTGGCTTTCAGGCCAATCCAAAACCCAAACCCATTCGCCCGGAGTTCCGCTTCGCTTCGCGTCCGCTTCGCCCAAGCGGCCGCGAAGACCCGCCGCGCTCCGCGCTGGGCGGCGCGCAGCGCCAGCAGCGCCAGGGCGCCGGTGCCCAGGTCCAGCACCGCCTTCCCCGGCGCCAACTCGTCGATGGCCTTCGCCCGGAAAGCTTTCGGGCGGCTTTCGGGAGGTCGGGAGGCTTTCGGAGCGGTATGGATGTTCCGATGTTTTTGGGTATGACTAGTATGATTCATATATGCGTGCCTTTGTTTGCGGAATCCTTGATTGCTTGGTTGGCCGGCGTTCTCTGCGTTTGATGAGTCGGTCGTTTTCGTTCCGTTAACCTGTTTGTTTCACCCGTGGTGAGGCTACTTGCCCAGGCTCACAAACCAGCTTTCGCCGCCCCGAACCTGGGACATCAAACGAGTGGATGGCAATATGGCAAGGATGCCAGGGTGATATGCGGCTTACATCTGGCTTGTCAAAACTGGGGACCCATGGTCCCTCTAAAAGGCCGCAGGTGGCACCCGGGCCCACAAAGGAGCTAGCCATATTCTTGACACCCACCTGCCCAGTGCCAAATGCGCCGATTTCCCGCCATTGCCTTGTAGAAGGCCTGAGTTCGAGCTTCATCCGCGCGCATGGCTTCATAGTCCTCCAAGGTAAACCTGGGCAATCCCAATGGCGTCCAAAGTTTCCTGAACAGGGCTTCTTGTGTGTCACCTTCAAGCATCCCTCCAAATAGAGAAGACCTCCTTTCGCATTGGCCCAAAAGGTCATGTTCCAAGCAAGCAGAAGAGGGAACATCAGGAGACCTCTGAGTCACCCTGGAAGGTGTCAGAATACAGAATCTGGTCTAGAGAAAGACATGATCAGCCAAGAAACCAGGACGCAAGGGAAGCAAAAACAACGTGCATTGCGCAAAGATTCCGTGAAAAGGGCCCTGACCAGGGTTGTGGGAAATGACCAAGTCTGTGATACGACAAAAAGGGCCTCCCAAAGACTACCCGCCCATATAAAGGACAAGATTCCCTTGTATCACTGTGGGGATAAACCCCTTGATCCCACAACCCTGGCCCTGACTGGTGGGGGCGTAAAGAAAGTTTCAGCGATGTCTCTCAACCTGGTTCAAATTTGGGGGGGTTCCCTTCCCTCCGCCACTTGTCCAGTGACCCTTGGTAGAAAAAGGACACTACTTTTCGGGTTCACCAGTTGTAGTAGGAAAAGCCACAAAACAACATGGTGGCTTTCTTTTTCACGGGAAAAAAAGAAAAGAAAAAAAACGACGTGTCGGAACCGTCTGAGGACTTCGTCCACTACGAGGAACCCCAGAGGCGGCCAGGTGGTGTCTTCAAAATGACTCTCAACACGCCAAACTGAATCGGCCAAGCGACAAAGCGTTCCAACTTTCGAAAACCAAACAAAACAAACAAGGACAAACCTAGGGCCAATAGGAATCTGCAACCTCCCATAGCCCTAAGCCTACGGGCGCGCTGCCAGTGCGCCATAGCCCCCCTACCAATGGTGGCTGAGAAAGAAAAGAGGTTAGAAGAAATAAAAAACAACAAAAGTGTAGGGGTCTGCTTCATCGAGGGGTAATTCGTTAATTGTAGCATTGTTGATGCCTCAGCGGTTCCTTGAGTATGGTCGGATTCAAAAGCCACTCCAAATCAAAATTAGGTGTCGTTGGCCGCCCTTTAGTGTGCGTCGCGGTCAGGAGCGGCAAGGTTAGCAAGGTCATTCACGTGGATGCATTCATAAGCTCCCGCTTTCACGCAGAGGCAGCTGCGCGCTTATCAAGTGTCAGACATATGTGCAAAGGTGAGTTCGGGTGTGCTTGTCATTCGGCAGGCATGCATGCAGTGCTGAGCGTACTCTTAAGCAGGTGTGCTGCCTTAAGATGTTGCAGACATGTGTGCAGTGAGGGCCATGTGGGTGCTCGCCAACGGTATGCGCCTCAACTAAGGAACATTGACCAAGGTGTTCTTCTTTGTCCCCCAAATGGACTCAAACCCCGGGGTAGGGATACAAAACTAAAAGGGAACCCTCAGATGCTATTCCCTTTGGTGGCCACCAAGTAATACAATCCCGATGTTAATACTAGCACACGTTGACCGCTATCAAAGTCAGTCGCTATCAAAGTCAGCCGTGTGTGTTTGCAATCTTAGGGGACAAACTGCTACAGTTGGGTGAAAGTGGATGACACAACTCCCCATGTTGGTTTAGTCATCCTCTTTACCCACATGGAGGGAGTTTTGCCATCAACTGTTGAAAGCAAAGCAAGCTAAAGACTATCAAGGTGCGCAAGATGGACATCACATCACCATTCCCTGGTTTCCTTTGAGAACAAAACATGATAACACCGCAGGAAAAAACATAACCCCTAAGTCTTAGGGTTAACCCCATCGACGCTGCGATAGTTGTGAGAACATCTCTCTTTCTATGTACTGCCAAAGAGTAAGTATCACGTTTAAAAGGGAACCCCGGGTCACTTGCAGAAATTGGCAACCTAAAAAAAACCTTTACCGCAACCAGTTGTTTGTTCCCCACCCAAAGAAAGGTACCGAGCCATAAAACTCGGGGTTGATCCCCCATTCTCTTCACTCATCGTTGTGGCCTCCGCACAAGCCAAGCAGCGGGCGGCTCAGCGCGAAAGCGCAACAGCTGAGGAAAATCACCTGCCGAAGGGCTCGGCTGGTGCTTGGTTGGCTGGGGCCCAAAATACGCTTTCTTGATGTTTTTCATAAAGGCAGAGGGACTACGTAGCAAGGAGCAGGAACGCACTGAGCGGTGGCCCCTGGTTCTTCCAACATGTTTGACCTCCACTTTGCCTGCTGGAGCTGCTGATCCATTTTACCCGGGCATCCAAGCATCCTTGGAGGACCTCCGTTTACCTGTTGGTTTATGGGCCCAAAAACAGGTTGGGGGTTCAGAAAGAAGGGGCCCCTTTCTTTATGGCCTACAGGTGTTTTCTGAATCGCAGCTTGTGTTTGAAAGAATGCAAAAACAAGCCTGCTGCAAAACGGGGGGAAACAATTCGTTTCCAAGTGGTGTGTTGCCGCTTCTTCTGGCAACTGGAAGCACTGGATGGGATTCCCTTGACACCCTCGCGAAGACCCAAGTTTGGGGCAGTCGAACCTATTTCCCACCCAACCATTGCACCAATCTCGGCAAAAACTTTTAGATTGCAACATGGGAAAAAGCCCTCCTTTGATGCCTTCTAAAGAAAAAGATTGGGGCTTGTGTTTGGTCGGAGTCCCTCATTCACCAACTGAGGACCGACCAAGTAGGGTTCAACCAACTAAAGAACTTTACTTGTTGGTCGCACTAACTCATGGTTGCTGCGCAAATCGGGTCTCATCCACAGCAAGCGGAGATTTGACTCAAGCCCTAAGCCATACAATTGGCGAGAGGGGAAGCAGCTCGCCAAAAAACAAAACGTTTGTTTCCACCAGCATGGCTGCAGGTTTACACCCGTACTATCAACCCCATGAGACACACACATGGTCAATGGGGTGGTGCGCAAATCGCGTTTCAACAAGAGTTGACCCCGGTTCCCCTTAATGAGAGCCCCAAAAGATTTTTAACACTAGTGGATTACACTGGTTCAGCTGGCCCTGCTCCCCTCCTGTGCCCAGGCAGCCGCGCGCCGCATGGCCGTGGGGCAGAAATGCAACAGGGAACTGCATGCACTGTTCACCAGCCAGCCTAAACTGAAGTAATCCAAGCAAATCTATGGTGACTACTATTGCATGGAGCCAAACCCGTCAGTATCATCCCTACTATCACTATTCGCTAGACTTGGGGACTGGTTTGTGAAACAACGGACTGTGGGGTGAGTTTTGGCTGACACGGCTAACAAACATAAATCTTGCTCTGGACCATATGTCATGCTTCTTCTTGGTGGGGACTATGGGAAAAATGTTCCAGCAACTACTGTATTCGACATGCTGGGCTATTCAACAAAATACCCTGAGAGCAAGCAAAGAAGAGGCCGGCGCTAGAACTCGGCCATCCAAACTCCGATGCCTGGCCATACCATGTGGAGGATGGGCTTGGTCAACCGCCGCAGAAGCATCCCAGAAAAGCCCGGCAGAAATCCTGAAACACGGAACCCGTACCATTGCAACTGGCAAATCCTGAGCGGTGTCAAAGTGGTGCATATGTTTCCCTTACATTTTGCACCATGAAACTGCACTTGATACTTCCTTAAGCAGGGGGGTCATGGGGCTGTGTTTTCTCACGGTACCGCTTATAAGGTTGCCGTAAAGGAAGACCAAAGCAAAGACCATCCCCGTCCCCTTTACCCATGAGACCTTGAAAGCCTGGCTTCTACTCCACGAGGTCTCTACCACCAGGGCCTTGGCTCACAAGCCCCCTGCAAGCGTTGGACCAGAAAGGAACAGGGTGAAACCGGTCGCAAGCCACATCTCTTCTGTGCCCAACAAGGGTGCCTCGCTCTACAGCCCTAATGTGGTTTTCGGTTTTAAGGGAACCCCCCCTTCAGTTGGCTTTAACGGCAAACCAAAGGGAAAACCACAACGTTGAGGGGTTCCTAATTTGATAGGACCCGCAGCTCATGCCCAAAGCCCGTCCTGCTCGCTCGCCTTTTTTGGGTAACGGGGACCGCACCGCGGGGTTTTGCACACGTCAATCGCGCACCAGAGATTGCGGGCTGGCAACTTGCACAGGCAAGTCTGCCAAATCGAGCAGATTGGGGACCTTCTGCAAGAGGGGGCTGGGGTTTAGGCAAATGGGTGTTTCGCAGGGTACCCTGTTGAGTAAGCATAGTTTGAAATCCCTGTTTTTACAACATGGCCAAACAAACGATAGAAGTCCAACCATTGGAACCGCAATCTCCAGGCTGCTGACAGGCGGTGTTCCTTTGGCCGGAACGAAGGCCACTCCGGACACGAATCAGAAGAGCATACCGCCGGGTTCGAGGGAAAACGGATGGAGCCAAATAGTAGCACGTGGGGTGTCTCGAACTGCACAACATGCGGCCCTTCCACAACGCTTCCAATAGAGTTTTAGTTGGGAAACCATAAGGGAACGGAGAATTGAACCCCCCTTACACAGCCGGTCATGCTGCCAGTTTTGCGAGGGTGAGGGACTTATCATCCGGGGACTGACTTTGATACTTGGATGGTCTTGGACGGCCTGCACCAAGCAAACTGGTTGCTGGTTGAAGGAAAAAGGAAGAGAACAAAAAGGCAAATTTGCAGCAAAAGGGTCAGTTGAGTCTGGCAATGCTTGGTTCTAAGTTGAGCCCAGAACAAGCAAGTAGCCCAGCGGCAGTCTGTCGGAGAGTGCCCTGTAAACGGCCACTTGGCATGGTCACGAGCGCGCATGCCGGTGAGAAAAGACAGGCATACGGCACAGTGGGTGGCGCATCACGTCTGCCACAGAAACAGTGGCATGTGTGCACTGGGCATTGTCGTTTTGTGGGTGAGGGCCGTTGTCCCTTTGATAGAAAGTCGTGCACAGGTTGTCTAGATTTTCACTAAATCGTGGCACAGGTGTAATGTATGTTCTGTCCACAGCCGAGGATACATGAACATTAAACTTGTGTAACTTCTGTATTGTGCCAATAGCGGGAATGCACAAAGAACCAACCCATTGAATATGGTTCGAAGCACGGGCTCTTTTATAAAATTGGCAGTATATTACGAATCGCTTCACTTAGAGTCGCCGATCGGTGATAACATGGTCATCTCCCTCCAAATGGCAGCCCAGCCCAAATGGTTAGTTTGCCGTTTGTGTCTCTTTCGAACAACCAAACACGGGGTAGTCTCAAAAATCAGTCTCTAGCGACGCCGGCCACTAAAATACTGTTGCATCGGTCCAGTTTGCCTTCGCATCGACGTCATGCGCCCCCCGTGACGAGCGCGGGAGGTCAAAAACTGTCTTGGGTGTGGATGACTCTTGACTCCAGCTCTTCAGGCACTGGATCTCATCCCTTCCCAGCGAAGAAGGCATCCATCATCCAACTGGGTGAACTTCAAAAGCGTTGGACAAATGCCACCGCACTTTAGTAAGGCTCGAGATGGATGGATCACATGGGCAGCACATCTCCGCAGAAATCAATCAATGAGCAGAACTTGCACAAAAACGTCCCTCGCTTCGAATATGTATCGAGTGCCTACGCAAAGGGCGGATCCCTTTATTCATCACATGATCATTCGTAGAGTTAAACGCAGCAACCGGCATTCCGAGCACAGGGAAAGAAAAGGCACATATTTGCAACTAAGCATGAGAAAGAAGCTAACTGCAAGCCCTCCGGGCGTTACGTGATCCGATCCAGCGCTTTGTGGATTCGCACCTGGCGCTTCGCTGTCAAGCCACTCGTGCGAATCCACACCGCCTCAGCCAAACTCCTGAATGACAGCTTGCTGGTTCTCATGGAACGAGGAAGCCAAGCAACAGTATGACATGTTCTCGTGTTTGTTGACCCCGCACTGAACATATCAAGAATCAGTGGGGAAACTGTTCAGCCCTTTTCTGGCTGTTCTAACTACCGAGAACCGGCAAACAACTTCTATGCAAGAGGCGCCCCTCCGTTGTGTCAGGGGCTTTTAGATATCCAGCTCGTGGCCTGCAGCTCTTTGCAGAAATTTACGTCTCGAGGGCCCCAGGACTTGCTAGACTTTTGGCGGGATCCGTTCTGGGTGAAATACTGTGGTGGCAAAATGAACAAGGGTGTATATGAGTAAGAGAGAGAGAGAGAGAGGGAGAGGAAAAACAAGTGTGTGTGTGTGTGCGTGTGTGCATGCGTGTTTGTGTTTGTGTTTGTGTTTCTGTTTGTGTTTGCGTTTCTGTTTGTGTTTGTGTGTTTGTGTTTGTGCTTGTGTTTGTGCTTGTGCTTGTGCTTGTGGTTGTGCTTGTGCTTGTGTTTGGCGCAGGCCAGGTTTCAGGTTCAAGGAATAAAAGGCAGTAAGGCAGGCAAGAAAGGGCTAAGGCAGAAAGATCACACAACATAGAAGTCACACAACAAGGTCATAAAGGCATATTTGAGTTCATGCGTCGTTAGTTCAGGTTACAGGCGTTGGTGGCGCGGGCAAAGGCAGGTAAGCAGAAAGGCAGAAAAGGCAGGAGGTCATAGAAGATACACACACAGGCGCCATGGGCTGCTGCAGGGCTGGCAAAGGCAGGGGCAGTGTGTTGTAAAAGGCAGGTGTGTGTATACATAGGGATGTGCAGTGGGCTTGTGGCTGGCAAAGGCAGGTGCGCAGGCAAGGCAGGAAAGGCAGGCAAGGCAGGGCTTGTGGGGCTTGGTGTGTGCTCAGGCCCAGGTGCGTGTGTGCGTGTGTGCGTGGGTGCGTTGGGTGCGCAAAGGCAGGGGCACAGAAAGTACACACATGCATACAGGCACAGACTCGTGCTTTTTTGGCCGCGTTGTGTGTGTGTGTGTGTGTGTGTGTGTGTGTGTGGGTGCGCCCGTGCGCGTTGGGCAGGTGTGCGCAGGGCACAGCAGGAAGGCATGTCGTCATAGGCGCCTCAGGGCGCCTGTAGCACAGCATGGCTACACAACAGCAGAAGGCAAAGGCAGGGGCGTAGAAGGTGGAAGGGGCAGAAGGCAGGAAGGCAGAAGACGTGCGTCACAGGGTCAAGATGGTCAAGGCGTCATGACGTCATGCGGGTTGCAGATCATGATAACAAGATGCGTGACAGACACACAGTTGGGCCATGCACGGGAAAGACGCAGCCGTGCGTCATGGCGTCGCATGGGTGCGAAGCGCGGGTGCCAGGTGGGTGTGGGTGTGGGTGGGGGTGTGGCAGGGTGTGTGTGTGTGTGTGTGTGTGTGTGTGTGTGTGTGTGTGTCTAGTAGTCTAGGCAGTCTAGGCCTGTGGGTTCAGGTGGTCTAGGTATTCAGGTGGTCTAGGGTTCAGGTAATCAGGTGGTTCAGGTGTCTATGTGTGTGTGGTGGTAGGTGTAGGCATACATACATGGGCATAAGACAAGCATTAATAAGATAAGCATGCATACATATATGTCACATATATACAGGAAGGTAGAAGGCAAAGGTGGCTGACAACGAAGGTGAAGGTGAAATAGCAAAGGTAGGTTGCGTAGTTGCAGAAGGCAGGCTGTGTAGGCTGCAGGCTGGTGAAGGCAGGTTGCAAGAACAAGAGGAAGGTGAAGGCAGGCTGCAGGTCAGCAGGTCAAAGAAAAGGCAAGAAGGTAGCAGGCCAAGAAAAGGCAAGAAGGCAGGCTACATAAGGCAGGCTGGGCATATACAAGTATAATACATATTATGCAACACAATAAGATTAAGTATTAATATAATATGATAAATACATAAATACATAATAAATTTAATACATAATATATTAAATATTTAAATAGATATATAATATATATTATATATTATGATACAGATAATACATAATAACAGATAATAAGATAATATATTAAATACATAATAAATAATATAAGATAACATATAATATAATGTATATAATATATATACATATAATATATAATATATATATTTATATAAATAATATAATATTATAATACATAAATATATATACAATATATACATATATATATATAAATATAATAATATAAATACATACACACACGTGCACAGGCCGGGCGCAGGCGCAGGGCGCAGGCGCAGGCTGCAGCGCAGGCGAATGTGTGTGTGTGCGTGTGTGTGTGTGTGTGTGTGTGTGTGTGTGTGTGTGTGTGTGTGTG